TATGGAATTGCTGACTTGGACTGACTTGGAAATCTAGATGTGTGTGTATGTGTGTGTGTTGTGACTACTGCAGCTATAAATATGTGCCTTAATCCACCCCAGCTCTCGTGAAGTCCTAATGTAATTGTTGTGTACTCGTAAAGGACATTAGCATCCATTCCTCTGATGTTTGCAGTGACCCTAAACACCAAGCCTCAGACCGTTACCTCATTGCTAACCTAAACTCACATCCCACGCACACTTCCACACATTAACAGGCTCCCGGACCCGCCGCGCTGGTTCTGTGGCAGGATTGGAATGGAAATAGATTTTGTGAGACCTAAAGAAACAGACATGGACATAAAAGTGCTTGTGGACAGCTGACAGAGAGTGAAGCGTCTTTGAGTGTCCAAAAAAAGCGCTGTATAAAACTAATGCATTATCATTAACACCAAATCATCTCCATGTCACAGTATTAGCAATGAAAAAAGGCAAAAAAAAGTATTTAACAACAGCTGATGTGTCTAAAGGGAGAAAAACTGCGTCTCCAGTGAGGTCATACTTTACTCAAACATGCATTAATGGCTCTAAGATACAAGACACAAGAATGTATTTACCATTTGCAGTAAAACCACATTGGACAGTGTGCACCAAAAAAAAACAACAACAAAAAATACTTTGAGAGAGTGCGTTTACAAAGCTTGAGTGAAAACCGGATCCCTCACCATGGATGTATCTGAATAGGGTATTACCAGCTTGGAGCAGAAGGACCATGTGCTCGGGGGATTCTCGCAGTACTGCAGACTAACAAAACTAAATTTGTGTGGGCTACCCGGAAGTTCTCCCCATAGAACTCAATGTAAACTAAAAGAGCTCGACCTCAGCTGCACTGCAAAAAGTGATGAAAAACAAGTCAAACATTTTTTGCCAAATTTATCTTAATTTATCTAAAATCTATCTTCGCGGGGACAGTGGCTCAGTTCGTAGAGCATTGCACCCCACTTTGCCTGAAGCCCCCGCTGAAAGATCAAGGCTCCTGTGGACTCACCACCTGCAGGAGGATCAGTGAGCGGCTGGTGCTCTGTGAACTGGGTGCAGCTCTGACTGCCACCCCCCTGACCCAGAAATGGATTAAGGGGAAGAAAATGGATAGATATCTTGATTTGAGCACATTCTCAATTCCTTCAAACAAGATTCTCCAATAGGACAAGCTAAGTTATGTTATGTTATGTTGCATTCTAAAGATACAAGACATTTCTCCCTTTTAATGAGAAAATGTGGCAACAGTTCTTGAAATAAGACTAAATGGCTTTGTCCCATTGGCAAATCAGAATGAACATGAAGTAAGATAAAAATCACTAAATTCAGACTATTTTTCTGATACATCCAAACACAACTTAACTGAAACAGAATCTGCTCTTAGTTAGATTAATGACCAACACTTTGACTGCACCAATGAACAAAATGATTACAATTTAAAGGCTTGATGCAGAATACTGTGCCATGCTGTGACATTTCTACTAAAAGGTTATCATTATACGATCACAATCCGTCGCCATCCAAGGCCTGCTCCCAATGCGCCCCCGGCTGGAAACTGAGCAGCTGCCAATAACTTCAGAACCTCCACAGACCTGCTCCTCAAAGAGACACGAGTGATTTTAACCAACACAGCTGTCTGTTCTTTGGGGTTTTGTTAGAGCGTTCCAATACTTTACAGAGTAAAGATTAGGTGGGAATAGCAATAAATATTAACAAAACAAGATAAGATCATCGTGATGTTATCCTTATTGTTTTTTTATTTGTATTAAGTAATTGTTTATTGGGCCCAAATGGGAAATAGCCTTTGTGTTTTGTGTAATTCAGACATGGACCGTCAGAGTTCTCTCAAGCAATTATGTATGTATTATTTACCATGGAGCAGGTAAAAAAAAGACAACAAAAAAAAGACAACTTTTATGGACAATAATCAATCAATCAATCAATCAAATTTTATTTATAAAGCGCTTTTCATACAAAAGATGCAACACAAAGTGCTTTACAGTTTGGTTAAAAACAATCCCGCCGACCCAAGACCCCTCCCCCAGACCACCCAACAGACCCACCCCAAACCACACACACACACACACACACACACACACACACACACACACACACACACACACACACACCACACACACACACACACACACACACACACACACACACACACACACACACACACACACACACACACACACACACACACAAGTAAAACAATAAAACCATGATGAGAGACTTGGCAGGGTTCAGATGCAACCAGCTGAAAAAGCGTCATCCTAGGAGACGTCTGCACCAGGAGCAGAGAGCCGCCCGTAGCCACAGGGGACGACACAGGATCTAGAGGAGACCCAAAATCGAGGCCCCAGGCCCCCACCAGGTCCAAGAGTCCGACCCCCACAGCCACACCGACCACTGCTCCCAGTGCAGAGGGCTCCTCCAGGGGAAACACTGTGTACACTAAAAACAATACAATAAGTAAAACACTAAAATGTGAGACTAAAAGGAACACACAATACATGAATAATAGCAATAGCAATATAATAAATAATAAAAGATAAATAGAAAAAACTAATCAAAAGCTAATCTAAAAGTGTGTCTTGAGCCTACTTTTAAAAATATGAATGTTCTCTGCGGCCCTGAGCTCCTCCAGCAGACTGTTCCAGAGACAGACAATCAACACTGTACACTTATTATGAATTGAAAACAAACACGAAAGTTTTTTTTTGAACTATACAAACAAAAGCTGTGTTGCTCTGGGTAAATTGCCCAAGGTTTTTGGCCATTTTATATTAATTTATTTATTTATTGTTTCACTGAGCACAGACTAAACAGACTAGATGGATTTTCATTGGACACTTAAAGTAGAGCATTGGCCTTTGAGCCTAAAGGTCGTGGGTTCGAGCCCACCGTAAGACCTACTTCACGACTCCCACTGATGACTGCTGTCGTTGTGTCCTTAGGCAAGACACTTAACCCCACTTTGCCTGAAGCCCCCACTGAAAGATCCCAGCTCCTGTGGACTCATCACCTGCAGGAGGATCAGTGAGGGGCTGGTGCTCTGTGTACTGGGTGGCATCTCTGGCCACCCCCCCGACCCAGAAATGGATTAAGGGGAAGAAAATAGATGGATGGATGGATGGACTTAAAGTCACTGATTTTCCATTTGATGTTTTGGTTAAATCTAAATTACCAAAGCAAACTTACCTATTGGTGACAGAGCGGCAAAGGCTTCCATACTTTTGCCTTGCTATATAACTATGTTGAATCTAAAAATGCCAAGGCAATAACAGAGAGACAAACTCTGCAATCTGAAATGAAATCTGTCTCAAATGATCTGGAGATGGTGCTGATGTGTTGCATTGACAGCACACACTTCCTGCACCTGAGTGAACCAGTCACTGCCATCAAACGCATCACGCCCTTGTGTCTATGATTGGATTTCTGCTACATGCCGATACTGTAACATGTCCCACTGTAGCGATCCCAAGAGCAAACGGATCAGCCGGCCACTCTCACGGAAGGCCGCTTCATATAGGCTTTATTTTAATTAGGTAAAACACATAGAGAATCAGAATCAGAATCAGAATCATTTTTATTGCCAACGTAAGTAACGGGAGGTCACAGACTTGGAAATTGCTTTGGCTCAGTGCAACAGTCAAAAAGAGATAATAAAAATAAGAATAAAAAACACTTCTAAAGAATAAATTTAAATTTAAAATAGAGTTACAGTTACTATTTACAATATACAAGTGCACATGGTGCACACAATGTAAGGTGACAGCAGTACAGTGAAGTAAAGTGACGTATGATGGGCAGTAAAGTGACTTTATAAAGGGCGGGGGGACAGGTTAAGAAGTGTTCAAGAGTCCAACAGCAGAGGGGAAGAAACTGTTCTTGTGGCGGGAGGTTCTAGTCCTGATGGACCGCAGCCTCCTGCCTGAGGGAGCTGTTGGGTCAATACATTAAATGTAAAAAAGTATGAAGGTCATTCAAATTCTGCACTGTATTTGTAAGGCTTACTCTTTCTTTATTTTATTTCTCACAATTTTCAACAAAAGATTTCTTATTTCAAGCTACGTCTTTTTACCAATTTGGAATGAAGAACTAACGCTCACAAATGGGATGGTCTTAATTCATGATAAGAACATAAGAAAGTACATCTGTCTGAGAGTAAAAAAACACATACATTTAGACTAGTAATATTACTTTTGAAAACATGTCAATACATTTTTATTTATTTTTTGCATACTTACCTGACAACAATTTAGACACACCCAACACTGTTTATCGTCAGTAGTTAGCATTTGGTCTTTAGCATTAGCATTTCAAACATCTTTCACTGTATGGTATTCAGTTTCAAGTAATAACTTATTTTAAAAAATCTGGTGAAACAAAAGTTACGATTGAACTACGGTTCTATGGATACTGGATGACGCCAGAGGTGGTGCATACGCACTGGATGATCATCTTCTAGGATGAAATAGAACACTATTTAGAGCAGTCACTGCTCTAAACAACCGGTAGCACTGTATAAATTATGAAATGTATTTTTCTTATGTGTTTTAAATGTATTTTATGTGTGTTTTATGAATGATCATGAATTGTGCCGTGTTGAAAGATAAATCTCTGCTCAATTTTAACAGACAATAAAGATCTATTCTATTCTTTTCTATTCTAAACATATTTGAGGCACTTTCTCAGATTTCTTTTGGTTTGAATGAGAGCAGTCACAATGACGGCTCTGGGAATCACAATTGTGGGAGTCCTCATGTTATCCTGGTGTACCTGCATTTCCTGTATAAAATCCGTGTTTAGTTCCTCTGTCTCAAAACAGTTCTCATGTGCATGTAGTTTGAATCAGTCACATCTCCAGATTTTTCAGTGAAAAACAGAGTATTCAATTTAATTCAATTCAATGTATTATTGTATAACCCAAAATCACAACAGCAGTTATCTTGGAGGAGTTAACAAAAACAATGAATATGCCTAACACAGAGTACCAGCTCTCACTCAGTACCAGCTCTCACTCAGTACCAGCTCTCAGTCAGTACCAGCCCTCACTCAGTACCAGCCCTCACTCAGTACCAGCCCTCACTCAGTACCAGCCCTCACTCAGTATCAGCCCTCACTCAGTACCAGCCCTCACTCAGTACCAGCCCCCACTCAGTACCAGCCCTCACTCAGTACCAGCTCTCACTCAGTACCAGCTCTTACTCAGTACCAGCTCTCACTCAGTACCAGCCCTCACTCAGTACCAGCTCTCACTCAGTACCAGCCCTCACTCAGTACCAGCCCTCACTCAGTACCAGCTCTCACTCAGTACCAGCCCTCACTCAGTACCAGCTCTCACTCAGTACCAGCCCTCACTCAGTACCAGCCCTCACTCAGTACCAGCTCTCACTCAGTACCAGCTCTCACTCAGTACCAGCTCTCACTCAGTACCAGCCCTCACTCAGTACCAGCTCTCACTCAGTACCAGCTCTCAGTCAGTACCAGCCCTCACTCAGTACCAGCCCTCACTCAGTACCAGCCCTCACTCAGTACCAGCTCTCACTCAGTACCAGCTCTCAGTCAGTACCAGCCCTCACTCAGTACCAGCCCTCACTCAGTACCAGCTCTCACTCAGTACCAGCTCTCACTCAGTACCAGCTCTCACTCAGTACCAGCTCTCACTCAGTACCAGCTCTCACTCAGTACCAGCTCTCACTCAGTACCAGCCCTCACTCAGTACCAGCTCTCACTCAGTACCAGCTCTCAGTCAGTACCAGCCCTCACTCAGTACCAGCTCTCACTCAGTACCAGCCCTCACTCAGTACCAGCTCTCACTCAGTACCAGCCCTCACTCAGTACCAGCCCTCACTCAGTACCAGCCCTCACTCAGTACCAGCCCTCACTCAGTACCAGCCCTCACTCAGTACCAGCTCTCACTCAGTACCAGCCCTCACTCAGTACCAGCTCTCACTCAGTACCAGCTCTCACTCAGTACCAGCTCTCACTCAGTACCAGCTCTCACTCAGTACCAGCCCTCACTCAGTACCAGCTCTCACTCAGTACCAGCCCTCACTCAGTACCAGCTCTCACTCAGTACCAGCCCTCACTCAGTACCAGCTCTCACTCAGTACCAGCCCTCACTCAGTACCAGCTCTCACTCATTACCAGCCCTCACTCAGTACCAGCCCTCACTCAGTACCAGCTCTCACTCAGTACCAGCTCTCACTCAGTACCAGCTCTCACTCAGTACCAGCCCTCACTCAGTACCAGCCCTCACTCAGTACCAGCTCTCACTCAGTACCAGCTCTCAGTCAGTACCAGCCCTCACTCAGTACCAGCCCTCACTCAGTACCAGCCCTCACTCAGTACCAGCCCTCACTCAGTACCAGCTCTCACTCAGTACCAGCTCTCAGTCAGTACCAGCCCTCACTCAGTACCAGCCCTCACTCAGTACCAGCCCTCACTCAGTACCAGCTCTCACTCAGTACCAGCTCTCACTCAGTACCAGCTCTCACTCAGTACCAGCTCTCACTCAGTACCAGCTCTCACTCAGTACCAGCCCTCACTCAGTACCAGCTCTCACTCAGTACCAGCTCTCAGTCAGTACCAGCCCTCACTCAGTACCAGCTCTCACTCAGTACCAGCCCTCACTCAGTACCAGCTCTCACTCAGTACCAGCTCTCAGTCAGTACCAGCCCTCACTCAGTATCAGCTCTCACTCAGTACCAGCTCTCAGTCAGTACCAGCTCTCACTCAGTACCAGCCCTCACTCAGTACCAGCTCTCAGTCAGTACCAGCCCTCACTCAGTACCAGCCCTCACTCAGTACCAGCTCTCACTCAGTACCAGCTCTCACTCAGTACCAGCTCTCACTCAGTACCAGCCCTCACTCAGTACCAGCCCTCACTCAGCCAATCAGTTCTCGATGTATCAACAACATTAATTTTTTAAACGTTTAAAAAAAAAGTGTGTTTTTTATTGTTTGATAAAAAAGTCCATTGTGTGCATAATAATAAAAGTGTAAGCAAATAAAAAAAAAACATTTCATAGAACATTCTTTAATAATAAAATGACGGTAAATTATACTACTAAGGTTTTATATCATTCAAATTTTCATTTCTAAACACAACTATGTACAAGCTAAACCACATTACATTGGGACAAACACAGCTAACAGCGAGGCAGAATTGCTCCATACAGCGACTGCATGTGCGCTGACCAGTCATGACAGCACCGCGGCTAAAAACAGATCTGCACGCCAGGTTTCGAATGTACCGAGGTTGTTGAAAGAGAAGGTGCAAAGACCAAGGCACACAGCACGGCTCCAGCCTCAGGCCAAAGGCTTGTCTTTTATGGGAAAACGATTCATCAATGCAGTCATACAGTATCTACATATTGTGAACATTTCAAAACATCAGAAAACAGACCTGGATTGTGTTTAAAGTGCAAACAATTCGAGAAACAAACAAGCCATCTGTCTAATTATTTTGATTTCAAACTCTGTACACAATAGGCTCATTTCCACTGAGCAAAAAGCTGGAGGTATTTTGACCAATAAATCCAGGTTGACTCTTCCTTGTGTGTGTGTTAAACGGGCTTGTCAATTTGACCCGCCAAAAAAATATAAAAAAATAAAACCTGTACTACCATTGGCACTGTTTTTTGTGTGCCTCCAACATGTTCGCACACTTCTGTCTTTTGCATAAATCTTGAGTGATTCTATACATTTCTCCTGTGTGAGATCAATAAAGTCTATCTTATCTTATCTTAACCCTCCTCACCATCTGGTCTATTGGCCGAGTTGTGTTCATACTTCATACCTGTGTGAATACTGAAACTAAATATAGCTGTGATTTCGACACAATAAAACCAAACTATTTTTTTGGCTGTTGCTTCCATGTGGGGAATATAGGGACAATACTTATGCCGTAAAACAGTACATAATGACAGCAAGTCGTGTACCGAGGGTGAAGCCTTTACCGTCAAAGTTTGCGCTGCTCTTTTCCTTATCTTCCGTTATAAAATATGGACGTATGTATGTATTGAATAATAAACTTGCCATAGTCTGTAATATTGTGATTCTTTCTGGCTCTGTATGCACTGCCCTGTGACTGTAGAAGACTGGTTCTGAAAGTAGGAAGAGAATAGCTGCTCTGCTTGTGTACAAGTCTCTCCATGGCCTCGCACAAGAGTACATCCGTGACATGTTAGCACCACATATGAACCAGCTCGGACTCTGAGGAGCACAGGGATTGGCCTCCTGCTGGTGCCCAGAGTCAGGACTAAACATGGGGAGGCAACAGTTCATATTTATGCGGCCAGAATCTGGAACAGTCTCCCTGAGCTTGTGAGACAGGCCTCGTCCCGGGCAATATTGAAGTCCACGCAGCAAACAATAGTATATAGCTGTGCAATTTACTAATTTGAAGCATTTATATTTTTATTATTTTAACTTTTGTCTTTTTTACTGAATTTTGAATACATTAGGTTTCATATGTATTTTCTTTTTTGTTTTGATGGATTGAATTGCTTTTGAGTAACGTTTGATTACACTGTACGAATGTGCTTTATAAATAAATTTTGAAGTTTGTACCACTTGCTCTCTAACTACTTTGGTCCCATCCAGTGGGGGCTGGTCCCGGCTCAAAAGTGGCCAAAATGACGCGCGCTGACATGCTTGCAATACCACCCCGGGCCGATGGGGGTGGACCCAGAAGAAGAATTAGCCAATGCAAAGGAAGGTTTCTCACCCATCATCTGTACTTCTTAGCAAGTTTTCCCGACGTTTCGTCCTCAACCTAGCAGACTTCTTCAGGGAATGAATTCTCGGACCGCACGTTGGAGATTTATAACCTATGGGTGTGGTTAGCCACACCCTAATCCTGATACTAACTCATAAACAATCTACGGTCTGCTTGATGTAGAAGGGAGCAGGTCTAACGACCCTAACTCATTAGCATGTCACAGACCTATTGTCTGCTGGGATGCTCAAGTGGAGTGCAGGTTTCACCCCTCCTAACTCATTAGCATGTCACTGACCTTGTCCCAAGTTAGGGCGTTGTTTTTAGGATGTCGTCATAGATGCGAGGCAAAACAAATCTTAACCCTCCTCCTCTGTTAAGAGAAGGTTTTTGTTTCCTCACAAAAATGGCTTCTTTCACTCCTCTCTCAAACCAATTCTTCTCCCGAGCCAGAATTTTAACCTCTGTGTCATCCACCGTGTGGTTGGAGGCCTTGAGGTGGAGATGAACAGCCGACTGTGGCCCACTAGAGTTTTCTCTAAATTAGCCAATGCTAACATATAGCATCTTCTTACCTCTCAAAAACACCTTTACAGGATGGTCCAAAAGTTGGCTCTTGGCCCAAAGCTCCGTTCCACATGTGTGTCAATGCTGAGGGAAGTGAACTTTTTTTGGACCACTCTAGTTTAGTCGCTGTACATTTTTTAAGTCACATGAATAGAGCTCGTCCCGGCTGACGCGTGCGCAGATGCTTTTTTTTTTTCACATTTTCCAGCCCCGTGGCCATTTTGAATCACTCCATGAGAGCCCAATTTTTGGCCCATTAGTTAGAACGGCGGAGATAGGCGTGACTACGTCCGTTAATATATACAGTCTATGGTTCCATCACTAGTTTTTACATGTTCTCCTCTGCCACTTCTTTGAATCAGCTTTTTCAGACAGAAAAGTGCAAAGGAGAGGACCACCCTCAATCATCTCTCAAGTTACTCACCCCAACTGTTTGAGTTAAATACATTTTCTTGGTTCCCCTATACCAGACAAGATAGCTAGACAAGATATATGTTATTACAAACCAAATAACCTAATTCTACTAAGAAGACGAGATGAACCTTCCAGAACTATTAAAATATACATATTGTGTAAAAAAAAAACAAAAAAAACTAGTACATAATATTATTCATTTTCAAGCGTGTCTCCGGAGGCTGGGTGTGTCATGTGTTGGAGGCCTGTCTCAAATAGCCTCATGCCTCTGTTTATAGGGCTTATATTTTTATTCATGCCATTCTTTATATAGACACAGAAGAAGTCATGTAAGTCCAGTGAGGTCGACGTTAGCTGGAAACATGAATTCATTGTGGAGAAGTTTAGCAAAACGTCAAGTCCTTCTACACCTTTCTTTCTGAAGGAGGGCAGTGTGTGATATTTCCACTGGAGCAAAGTTAGCAGCTGTGAAATTGCAACAACATGATTCAAAGAAGAAATAGAGGCTTATTGTATGACTACTTTCATAGGCAACCTGGATATGGTAGTAGTATAGCAGTAGTAGTGATAGTAGAAGTAGTCCTAGTAGTAGTAGCAGTAAAAGTAGTAGTAGTAGTAGCATTTGTAGTAGTAGCCATGGTAGTAGTGACAGTAGCAATAAAAGTAGAAGTCGTAGTAGTAGTTGTAGCATTTGTAGTAGTAGCCATTGTAGTAGTAGTGGCAGTAGTGATAAAAGTAGAAGTCGTAGTAGTAGCAGTAGTAGAGGAAGTAAAAGAATAGTATTTGTAGTACTGTAGTAGACATAGTAGTAGTAATAGCAGTAGTAATAGTTGTTGTGGTCATAGTAGTAGAGAAAATAAGTAGTAAGTAAGTAAGTAATCTTTATTTATATACCGCCTTTTCACTGCAAATCTGAGTCTCAAAGCGGTTTACAATTGTTAATTTTTTGGGCATTTGTCTCCCACTCCACACAGAGATGGGAGCGGGGTCGCCAGTACACAAGGCGCATGCCAGACCTATTGTACATATTTTTAGTGGTAGGGGAAACCGGAGCACCCGGAGGAAACCTACGCAGACACGGGGAGAACATGCAAACTCCACTCAGAAAGGCCCTGGTCCGACCGGGATTCGAACCCAGGACCTTCTTGCTGAGAGGCGAGAGTGCTATCCACTCAGCCACCGTGCCGCCCTAGTAGAAGTGTTGTTGCATTAAAAGTAGTAGTAATTGTAGTAGTAGCCATAGTAGTAGAAGCAGTAGTAGTAGTAATAGTAGTAGTAGTGAGGTTATTTTAGCATTTGCGTCACTGTCTACATGATTTCACAGTTTTTTCTTACACAGGGTGGCTCTGTACTTCTGTGGTCTGTTTAAGGAAAAAATGATTCCGTAGTTAAAAAAGTGACTGCCACGCCTTTTTCCAGAGAAACTATATTTTAGTTTGATTTAGATTCACTACCATTAGTCTGTATAGATTGTATTTTTCTGGTGTCAGGTACCTCCTTTTGAAACCACTTTTACACACATTTTGCGCTGAGAAAGACCAATGTCGACTGTATACAAGTCCATGATTGGTATGATTGGCTAAGCACATTTGGCGTGTGTTTAGCTCTGTTTTGACCTGCTTCACAAAGATTCACTGGCTATCGCTAAAGTCTGTCATAAAGTCACGTAGAGTCCTTTAACCATAACACAGTATACTACCAAACTCTTCATGACCATCAACAATAAAGAGCTACATTACAGTACATGTATAAAGACAATAACAACTATTTAACACCTGGATCATGAAAAGTGTTGTAATTTGCTATTTTAAACCTCTGGATGGCAAGTGTGACACAAACGAGCAGTATGAGTAAACTTCGCCTATGAGCACTTCTCTATAACTGCTCATTTCTCCACTGTGGGACCAAAAAAGGTTTTCTTATCTAATGGTATGCTACCTGCTGGCTAGTAGTAGTGTGTTTGTATGGTAGACAGAGCTTTCTCCGAACTAGCAGCAGCACAAGCCCAGAACAAGCCCAGAACTAGCCCAGAACTAGCATCATGCTGTTTTTGGTCTCGGATGTTGACCGTGCGACCACCTTTAACACTCACCTGGTAGATGAGCACTTTGAAGTTGCGTCTCTTTAGCAGCTCGCTCTCGTTGCTCTCCAGCTTCTTGATCTGGCCCGCCTGCTTCTCCAGGTTGTTCCTCACCGTCTTCACGTTCACGCTCACTTTCCGCACCTTGTCCAGCATCTTGTTGACGGTCCCCGCGGTGCCCAGGTGGTTCTTGGACAGTTTGGACAGCTCCCCCTGGATGGTGGACACAGACTTCTCCATGGACTCCTGCCGGGCCTCCAGACCGTTCTGCGTCTGCTGGATTTGGTCCACCACGCCGATGATCTTGTCCAGCAAGGAGAGGACCATCTGACCATTTATCTGGGCTTCGCTCTTCTCCGCGTCCTGGAGCTGCAGGGTGGAGTTTTTGGAGCGGCGTCCCGGGTGATCGTCCACCGCTGGGTCGGTAGCGGCGGCCACCAACGCTACCTCGTCGTTGTCATCGTACGAAAGATCCTCCATCTTCTTCACGCTAGAGTCCGCCATGTTTCTAGAAGCCTGCAATGCAAATTCAAAGTGGAAAACTCAGTTAAAGTGAATGTTGATTAATTTCTAAATTGTGGATAGGGATTCAATTAAATTACATTTTTGTATAACCCTAAATTACAACAGTAGTGGTCTCGCAGGAGTTTACAGTTGAAGTTGTTGATTCACCAACACAGATCAGAGAATAAAGCAGTTCAAGACAAGTGCTGGGTAATAGACCCGCCCACCCTCACCCTGCAGTGTTCTAATAGGACAAAATAAAATCTAATCATTTAATTGGTTTAACACTTCTCCTACAAAAGATATATTTATTATTAAAATACTTACTGCACATAATACCTTAGAGTCCCATTGTCAGAAATATATGTTGTTTTAAAAATGAAATTGATAATGAAGTTACTGACATCACCTTTAATGATGTTATTGTTATTTTTATATGGTTGCATCCTTTTGGCAAAATATCTGATTGTGAAATTTCTGACAAATGATTAAATTTGATTTTTGGTATTCTGTATAAATATTTTGTGTGGGTAAAATAACATCTTCAGAATTTATTTTTAACCATAAACTAGAACCCTTGTTTGGAAGAATGGATGTCACTAAATGCAACGGATTTTTGGCTACAAAACGAAAAACAATTGCACTCTTTGTGATTTGCTGATTCCAATCTAAATTCTATTTCTATTAATTATTCCTACACACATTGCCTGTAAAGTGCCACACCCTCTAATATTTTCCATTCCCTCATTTGGATTTTTGTGACAGCTTTGCACAGTGGTCACATGCTCCCATTTTTAACACACCATCTTGCTGAAAGATTTAAAACAATGAATGAAAATAAATCTTTTGGCAGAAGCTTAATGAAACAAAGTCACAGTGCATGCAGGCTCTGTAACCAAATACAGACCGTGTGTTAGAGTTAGGGACAGAGTGTGTGTAACTGCTGCCATGTCAGCTGTAATAAAACTACAATCTTGTTGAGAATAACATAGTCAAACGTTGATTTTTTTTAAAACAGCAATTTGTTACTTTCTGGAGGTGGCACAACACATTAGTGATGGGAACTACCCAGTAAAACAAGTTTGGAACGTTCTCTATTTTACCATAAACCTAGTCAAATTGTATTTTGTCTGTTTTTACCTGTTTCTCACTTTTTCCCACTGGGTTTTTTAAGAGTTTTTCCTTGTCGATGCAGGAGGGTCTTGTTGGACAGTTAGTGTCCAACAGAAAGGATTGGTGATGATCAGGACACTTTAGCATTCTACAACATGTATGGACATTTTCTTCTGTGTGTGCTTTACATTCTTCATGTGTTTTAACTGTTGATTCTCTGACCTGTGTTGGTGATTTCAATGGTTTTGTTAAGTCCTCTGAGATGACTTCTGTTGTGACCTAGGGCTATACAAGAATAAATTGTATTGTATTGTATTCAAGCACTTTGTGGCCTTGGTCTGTGAAAGGCGCTGTATAAATAAAGCTTACTTACTTACTTACTTACTCACAAAGGAGCAGTTTTATCAGGATTACAAAGGAGACGAGGCTCATTCAGAAAATGTCTGAATCAGATTTGTGCCACAGCAACCTCTGCCTCAGTGGATAACATGGGTTTATTATTTTCAGTGTAAAAACACATCAATAAGAAGAAAAACCTATATTTCCATTTCCATTCCAAAAAAACAGGTGCTTTCATAACTTTTTTTTTTACTTTAATGGTCTAATAATTCTTAAAATATCCAAATCCATCCAATCTGAAAATATATAGTCCAAACTTGTGCGAAGCCTACTTAATACATTATTTCCTAAATGTGAAAATAGTCAATAACGAATGCAGACAATAAACAAACCCTGCACATTGAAACATGCCATAAATAATCCGCAAACAACACTGGATAAATCTTAAGTTAATTAGTTATTCACACAATCCCCCAAATTATAAGAGGCTTTCTCAATGTATTTTTTTCCCTATGTAATTTGTCACTAACCTTTGCAGACAACAAAAAACGTTGCACATTCAAACGGCTATATTATAACCACTGCTATTGCTATAAATAGTCTTCAATACATTCTTCTACATTGAATAAATCTAAGTCAATTGGAAGTTATTACCACCATGTCTATAGGTAAAAATGATTCTTCCTGTGGATTTCCCATGTGTGGATTCTCATGCTATACTCACTGCCTGTGTCGCGGGATGCCAGCCAGCCGAGGGGAGTGGGGCCTCTCACAGCTGAAGCGTCCTGACTCAAATGCCTGTGTGCTCTGTGGAAACGCACCCACAGCTTTGGCTTTCCATCCGCCCAGAGCCAGAGTCAGCCCTGGCCCTGCCCAGAATAACCCCCCCCCCAACCTGGGCCACTACCCTGCCCCTGCACACACCCCATGCAGACCCAGAGAGAACCACAGCCCTGCCAGTCTGCATGGGGTTGGGGGGTGGGGGAAGAGATAGAGAGAGATAGAGCGAGATAGACAAAGAGAGAGAGACGAGGGGGGATAGAGAGCGTGGGAGAGAGTGGGAGGAGAAAGAGATAGAGCAAGGGAGAGAGAAATAGAGCAAGGGAGACAGAGATAGAGAGAGAGGGGAAGAGAGAAACGGTGCGAGAGAGAGAGACGGAAAGAGAGAGGGATAGAGACACAGAGAGGGGGGAGAGAGAGAGAGAGGAAGAGAAAGGGAGAGGGAGAGAGAGTGGGAGAAAAAGGGAAGAGAGATAGAGAGGTGGGAGAGGTAAATCCAGAAAGGAACAGAGAGGCCTATAAATATGTATTGTCTTGTTTTGTGTTGGTTTATGAAGTAAAATTTTTGTTTGATGAATTTAATGTAGTCTCTGGATTTGATGACACAGATGGAGGGATTCTACCAAAGAGCCAACATTACTTCCTATGAATAAAAATACATATCTCTTCATATTTCTACGTCTACAAAAATGCGCTGGAAAACGGCTGCAAGTCCTAGCTCTGAAACAGTTGTTGTTGTCATAGCTTTTTTCAACCTGAGATTTTGCTGCACAACAGTATTTATGGTTTTGCACTGGTCCAGACCGGAGAGGAAAAGATTCATGGTACAAATCAAGAGGATCAGGAGAAAATCTATCTATCTATGTGTAACAAACTTAGTAATATTGACCAGGGTCCTGTCCCACTAAGGAAATATAAATGATGTAACCCAAAACTTTGCTTTGGATGTTATTGTCATGTTGTTCTTTGTATACTCCAATTCTGATTTATGGACAAATAATATAATGCATGTATTTGTACTCCAGCATACAACATTTGGTTTTGATTTGATGTTGTAGTGTCAAGTTTTACCCACTAGAGAGCGGTATAAGCTATCCATGGAGTTCTGAGTTCTGTTTCCATGCAGTATTTTACCCACTATTTTACCCACTATTTTACCCAAGTTTTACCCACTAGAGAGCGGTATAAGCTATCCATGGAGTTCTGAGTTCTGTTTCCATGCAGTAAAAAGTCTCATATAAGAGTTTAAAGACGTCCTCACGTTCAGAATATGTAAAATGTTTTGAATGATCAATTATTATGGCAACAGTCCTAATTTTTCATAACTCTGAAAACCATGCATAGCTATAAAAAAAATAAATCCAAATGCACAGAGTAATGCGGCTGTTACCGAGTGAAACTTTGAGGTCAAGATTAATCCCCTATTTGACTTTTTGGGAAAAGAAATAGACTTTTAAAAAAGCAGTTTGTTTGTTTAGTGCTGAAATGTTTAAAAGCGAAAAACTCTGAACAGGTTCTCATCTCCACAGACCTCATACTTGACCCACAGTGGAGGCCCCTCTGTCTGTTTACATGGAGAGGCAGTACCGACCTGAAAACATCCACAATATGGCATTAAAGGTGTGTGTTTCAACGGAGAGTACAACATATTTAACTTATTATTTTCATGGAATATTTCAGGTAAATTTCCACACACAAAAATCACTTTAACAAGAAAAAAGAAAAAAACCCCGAAAAGCTTTACTTAACAATAATGAGGAAATAAAAGCGTGTGTCTATATCCTTATAGATCCATGGTCTATTGTAAATAAAAGAATTGAATTGAATTGAATATATATTTGTGAATAGAGAACAAAAGCTAAAATGCCATATTTATATTGGGATGGATATTTCTCTAAAGCAGGTGCAGCTGAAATGTACTTTTTACATGGTTCCTTGCTCAGACAGACTCTCTGAGAACCAAGCAGGACATAATTAATTGTCTAAAGAAAAGACTGTCAAACATCCAGAGATAGAATTTTCAGATGAACGGAAAACTGATCAATAATCGATGACCCAGCGTCACAACAAGCAGCCAATCAGCAGCGCGCCTCGACTCATGTGACCCGTGGACTTCTCTAAAGCCCAGGCGTTTGGATCACGGCTGGATTAAGTCACCGGTGAATCTACAGCTAAAAGCAGTCACTCGTTTAACAATCAAAATAATAAAAGTATTCAGGTCATTGTTATACAGTCACAGTTTGACAGCAACTACTATTCCACATACAACATTTGTTTACATTTGTTTAAAGGGGATATAGGCAAGGCAATTTAATTTGCATAGCACAGTTATACAAAAGGCAACTCAAAGTGTTGAGCAAAACAAGAAGATATTAATTCAAAATCCCCACATGGCATTAAAATCAACAGAAGTACATAAAAGAGAGAATTTACAATCCTTCAGTTGTTTGCACAGCTAAACAGAACTGTTTAACCTGAAGTTGAACATATATAACAGCAACTAACCTTTACGAGTTTTCCAACACCGGATGTATTCAGAATACATCCTTTTTTCTTTTGGGGGTATTCAGAATATACTTTAAGGCTTACTCTTTATTCTATACTCTTTTTAAGGCTTATTTTAGTTTTGTATGTTTCTCACAATTACAAGTTTTGAACGGACAATTAGGAGCCTAAAACTTGAAGTAATAATTCCACCGCAATTTACCTTCTCTATTTGTCCAAACCCAGACGTCCAGTCATAATACCGATCCCGTGTGAATCTGCATGTCAGTCATTCTGATCGCTATTTTCACTTTCTCTACTTTCTGCGTTTTTTTTGTCAATATCTTGCGCTTTTTCATATCACTTCCCGGCTCGAACCATATGAAGCTGTGGTAGAAATGTTGATTCTCAGATGTGAAACTTTTTAGCAGCAAACAATAATACAGCTCGTACACATCGCAGCACAGTGAGTGACAAACGCCTCTCTTCTTCGTGGCTGTGTACACACTGACAGAGAGCGCACATGTGTTTGTCCTCATGGTTACTTGAAACAGTATACCCGACAGTAATTGTTGGGTTTTTATTATTTTCAGAACACTGCCATACTCAGTTACATACAAACCTTACAAAATGCACGATATGTCTCCTTTAAGTTGAGTTCTGGCTAAGCCCCGCCCCCGGGTCCAAATGCCTAGGATTTAGCTTCGTGGCAAAACAACGCAGACTCTTCCGGAGAGAGAGCGGTCGATTCTTCAGACTTCTACCGCATCAAACTACACAGAGGGAAGTGAAAAACGCTGACTGGTACGTTTGGATTTCTATAGTCACATAACAATAGTTTATTTGCCAATGTTTGTACGCAAAATGAAAGCGAAGACATCGGTGTGATCCACAGGTGTTTGCTGGTGTATGTGTTAGCTCTGTCATTGCCTGTATAATGCGTTTATTCAGCGTTGACACATCTTATGTTTTTAGCATTTTTCACTGCTTTAACAACACATTTCAAAGCTAAATCCATATTGTATTTCAACTTATATCGCTGAGTGTTTTTATTTTATATGTTGTATTGTGGTTAATGGCAGTGACAGCTCTAATATTGACATTTTTCTTATGCAAATATTCCTTATTTACTGTGTTTATTGCTTGGTTCTGCTGTTGTTTATTTCAATTTTTACGTGAATTATTAGCTTTGATCTTAAAAGACGTGTTGGTTTTAGAATTTCTTACTAGACACAGGTCACGTGCTCCATAATCCACAGATAAGCTTTGCTCTTTACAGTCTGTGGAGTGGAATGCACCTTTCCAACCTCTTTAATAGATTGTTTTTCCCCCTTATCTATCATAAGTATGAAAAAAAAATAATAAGAAAACTGTCTCTTGAAAGGATAGAAGTTTTTATTTTGTTTTATTCTGTTTTTGTCTGTGTTGATGTGGACCTTAAGTCTGTAATAAAGTAATCTATCCATCTATAAACAATGACCATATCTGGATTTTTGCTTGTACAATGTTATTATGGCATTATGCAGCCGTATTTGCATGTTTTAGTTGAATATCTGTGTATACTGCTGTACTATGTATATTTTAACATTTATGCATTCTTTTGTCATCATGGGACGAGCTTGGGGCAAGTGCTTCAGTTTGCTTAAGTCACATGTTACACCATTTACACTTGCGTATGAAGTAACATGTGAAGCAATTAGTGACTATGTTCGACAGTTTTTTTCCGTCCAGGGCAGCATGATTTTACTGGGGATTTTGTCTGACTTCAACATTTGTCCAAACTAAGGCTCTTTAGCCAATTGCTACCCTGTGACCCTTTGCTCTTAAACATAAAATCTGTGTTATCCAGCCAACTTCATATCCACCATCACACACATGCCTCTATTGTAAACTAAAAAACATTACACAAAATTACATGTTTGACACTCATGTAGCTACCACTTTCTGGACTATTAGACACACCTGTATATAAGCCACTCCAGTAACATACAAAAAAGTACATTTAGCCAAAAACAGGGTGCACTCTCACTGAAAAGGATGGATACCCCTTTTATTAGGCCAATTCATTTCTTTTCTTACACTGTATGAAACTTACTGAAGTTCTTGTTTTTTATGAATTATGCTTACTTATGCTTTTATTTGTGATAAAGGCTGGTGATGCATTAGTTTGATAGTTGAATGATGTCTCAGCAAAACTAGTAATGGCAGATGTGGTGACAGAGAGTGCTTTACACGCTGTTATTTGAGTAAAACTATTATGTTATTGTATTCATAAGGACCTTAATGAACTCAAGAATGTAATTTAGCTGCAATCAGCGTGACGTCAATTTCAATTTGTGGCACCGGCCGGCAGTGATGCTAGTAAAGGCCAGGTGCTAGTAAACTATATATCTTATATCTTATCTTATCTTATTACCCTAACCCTTGCATAGAACTTGAAACGACACAGGCCCAGGACAACATAACAAAGACGAACATAATATGTCAAACTACAAATTGGAGCCTAAGGAGGATTTTAATAACAATAATAATAATAATAATGCATCGGTTTTATATAGCGCTTTTTTGGACACTCAAAGACGCTTCACATGTGTCATTCATTCACTCCATACACGGTGGTGATAAACTACTACTGTACCCACAGCTGCCCTGGGGCACATTGACAGAAGCGAGGCAACCAGTATGCACCTCCGACCAGCACCAACCATTCACACACACACCAGACTCATTCTAGGCAATGGGGGTGAAGTGTCTTGCCTAAGGACACAACGGCAGTTTGGCACTTTACAGCCGCAGCCGCCCCACTGTGGCTGGTGTTACCAGAGGTTAAGTGTCTTGCCAAGGACACAACGACAGTAGTCAGTGGGAGTCGATGGTGAAAGTCTTGAGTCTTTGGGCTTATTTGACGAGCATGTATCACCAAGAATGATTGACAATTGGGAGGACCAATAGTCTTGCTGATCCACCTGGAAGTAGAAAATCATCCTAATATACCTTTTAAAGTTACCAAAAAAGATTAAGTTTTGACTTTCTAGGTAAAAAGCAAATGGTGAATAATTTAGAAAATCTAAAAAATCAAAAAAACTCCAAGGCACTCGTGGTCAGTGGTTTAGAAATTTAAAAAGCCTTTATTTGCTCATGGCTGTGGATTAAAATACGCACCAACGCGTTTCAGCCTGACTTGGCCTTCTTCAGGGTGCAAACATTTAAATTTTTTGTCATGAATCAACAACAAGTGGGACACAATCGTGAAGTGGAACGAAATTTATTGGATGATTTAAACTTTTTTAACAAATAAAAAACTGAAAAGTGGGGCGTGCAATATTATTCGGCCCCTTTAGTTTCAGTTCAGCAAACTCAGTCCAGAAGTTCAGTGAGGATCTTTGAATGATCCAATGTTGTCCTAAATGACTGATGATGATAATCAAGTCTCCGTATAAATGCATCTGCTCTTTGATAGTCTCAGGGTTCTGTTTAAAGCACAGAGAGAACCATGAAGACAAAGGAACACACCAGGCAGGTCCGAGATACTGTTGTGGAGAAGTTTAAAGCCGGATTTGGATACAAAAAGATTTCCCAAGCTTTAAACATCTCAAGGAGCACTGTGCAAGCAATTATATTGAAATGGAAGGAGAATCAGACCACTGCAAATCTACCAAGACCCGGCCGTCCCTCCAAACTTTCATCACCAGTGCATGTTTAGAGTGAACTCCTAACACCACACACCGCCTCTCGAAGTCTCCGTTCAACCACCTCCTCCCACTGCCTGCACCAACCCAGGACCAAACTCTCCACCATGGGAGATAGGGCCTTTCAGGCAGTAGCCCCCCGGCTCTGGAATGCCCTCCCAGAAACCCTCAGGGCCCCACAAAGTGTGGAGGCTTTTAAGAAAGGCCTAAAGACATTTCTATTCAAACAGGCCTTCTAGATATGTACAGTAGTTATGTTTTTATGTTTTCTTGATGTTACAATACAATACAATACAATACAATACAATACAATTTATTCTTGTATAGCCCTAGGTCACAACAGAAGTCATCTCAGAGGACTTAACAAAACCATTGAAATCACCAACACAGGTCAGAGAATCAACAGTTAAAACACATGAAGAATACAGTATAAAGCACACACAGAAGAAAATGTCCATACATGTTGTAGAATGCTAAAGTGTCCTGATCATCACCAATCCTTTCTGTTGGACACTAACTGTCCAACAAGACCCTCCTGCATCGACAAGGAAAAACTCTTAAAAAACCCAGTGGGAAAAAGTGAGAAACCTTGGAGGAGAACTAGGGAAACCCACAGGGAGGGAGACCCATATGAGAAAGGGATCCGCTCCTCCGGACGGACAGACTAATGATCTAGGACCTAAGCTAGCTACAGAACGTGGACCATGTTATATTTGATGTATTGTTTTTATGTTGTGTATCTTGGGGATGTTCCCTGTTTTTGTAGCACTCTGAGGTTTCCCTGAAATGTAAAGTGCATTATAAATAAAATGTATTATTATTATTAGAGGAGGGCCGAATGAAGCCCCTCCCTATATAAATCACATGATCACTGGTGTCACCATTTGCACCCTGAAGAAGGCCAAGTCAGGCTGAAACGCGTTGGTGCGTATTTTAATCCACAGCCATGAGCAAAAAAAGGCTTTTTAAATTTCGAAACCACTGACCACGAGTGCCTTGGAGTTTTTTTGATTTTCTAAATTATTCACCATTTGCTTTTTACCTAGAAAGTCAAAACTTAATCTTTTTTGGTTACTAAGTTATACCCCTCGCCCAATCGAGCACCTGGTCTTTTAAATAATTCTACGCACTTGTACCACACAGCACTCCTTATCCTTCGCTTTTTTGAGAAATACCTTTTTAAGTTATTCATAATTCGTTGCTGACATTTGGCTTTTGCTGTGATTAATAATCGCCGCACTGCATTCCTTCCTTTGTCAGGTTTGGACGCTCACACACCCTGGTGCATCATGGGGGAGTTACTGCGGAGCGAGGAGATGACTCTGGCCCAGCTCTTCCTCCAGTCTGAGGCGGCCTACTGCTGTGTCAGTGAACTGGGAGAAATCGGGATGGTGCAGTTTCGAGATGTAAGTCCGCCACGCCCTCCTGCTCTGCCTTCACCCACTGGTGGCTTTGATAGTTATGTGGTTGCAGAGAGAGAGAGAGAGAGAGAGAGATTGTGTTAATATTGATTAGCATTGTTTCTGTATACAAAATTTTTAAATTCCTTGCTGATATTAAAGATTATATTAGATAAAGTATTTTAAATGAGAAACCCAATCTCCTGGAAATGTGAAGTGGGATTTTGCATACCTGGGCTGTTTGGCTTTATTACAGTTTCTAAACTCCCATTTGCACTGGCATTGTCACAACCCAACATTAACAAAGCTCATTGTCCTAAAACACAACACAAACCCAGATTAGTTTTCTAATCCCCATATAGTAGTAATGGAATATCCTCCAAACATATTTGTTCTTTGGTGACGAAGCAAACCTTCGCTAGCATCTCTGACACAATGGGAAAATACACAAACAGCTTCCTGATGGAAACACTACACTTTGTTTAGTAATGAGGCATTCTTGTGAGGTTAAAATGCAGTAAGGCTCGTCATGCGCTTTCAGCTGAGCACAAAATCCTTCAGACTTCACTCTCTCACTCCCCCGCTGAAAGGGGGAGGGCACACAGACATTATTACAAGTGAAAGAAAACCTCAGGTATATTCCCAAGAGGTTGCGTTCATGTGACATCATAAGAGTCCAAAGAGCTTAAAGTATAGTATAGTTGTGGCTGCATTCAAAGACCATGCATGAAAGTGGTTTGAACCAGTAGAAAGGACATTTAGACATAAGAATTATATAGCAGGTTTGTGAATCTAATGTCTGATACTGATGACCTTTTATTCTTAAAAAAATAAATAAAATTAAATCCTTCTTTCCCATCGCTTTTTTGTTGTTGTCTCCGCCCCCTCTTGACTGACATAGAAATGTTGGCCATGGCCCCACCTGCGTGTGAAAGCCAGATCCTGTCAGACCTCTGAAGCTAAGCAGAGCCGAGTCTGGTTAGTACTGTGATGGGAGACCTTTAGGAACTGCAGATGCCACAGTGGGGCGGCTGTTGTTGTGACTTGAGGCAAAACATTCCAGACAAGACTCTCACATTGTCTAGAATGAGTCTGGTGTGTGTGTGAATGGTTGGTGGTGGTCTGAGGGGCTCTTACTGGTTGCCTCGCTTCTGTCAGTGTGCCCCAGGGAAGTTGTGGCTACAGTAGTTTATCTCTACTGTCTATGGAGAACATAAAAGAGCTATGTATAAAAACCTATTAGGGTGTCAAGTAAAATTCTCTTTCTCTTGTGATATGTGCCTAATTAACTGAATATGATGTTATGTATGTATGACTGTTCAACTTAGGTGTTAAGGAAGTAACAATTAAAACCAGGAAGTAGAAATTGTAACTAAAATCATAATTTATTCAGATGACAAAATAGGTAAAGGGGTAAAACAAGGATTGAGACACTAATTCCAAGTATTTGTTATTCTGAAATGATTCACTCCCATTAAATTCGCACTCCCATAACATAAACCACTGCAGATGCTGTCGAAGCCTTTTCAAGCTGTTTAATTATTGATACAGTCCAGTCTTTTGTCCGTCTGAATGCTTCCCTTCCTCGTCGCTCTGCTCCCTGTCGACTAATCCCTTACACACACATAGCTCTGGGATAAGTGGTGCTTTTGTTTTTCCCGCAGTTAAATCCGGATGTGAACGTTTTCCAGCGAAAGTTTGTGAATGAGGTGCGAAGGTGTGAAGAAATGGACCGTAAACTGAGTAAGTGAGAGTAAGACCGTGCATGTCTTTAATCAGCACCAATATTAAAAAGGAAAGCAAGGGAAGTTTATTTGTATAGCACAGTTTATACTCAAGGTAATTCAAAAGTGCTTCACAATCACAAATCATCACAATTCATTAAAAAGCGTGAAAATACAGTCCTTCAGTTGTATGCTCCCCAGAGTCCCAGCAGGAGGCCGGTCCCTGTGCTCCCCCAGAGGTCCCAGCAGGAGGCCGGTCCCTGTGCTCCCCCAGAGGTCCCAGCAGGAGGCCGGTCCCTGTGCTCCCCCAGAGGTCCCAGCAGGAGGCCGGTCCCTGTGCTCCCCCAGAGGTCCCAGCAGGAGGCCGGTCCCTGTGCTCCCCCAGAGCCCCCAGCAGGAGGCCGGTCCCTGTGCTCCCCCAGAGGTCCCAGCAGGAGGCCGGTGCCTGTGGTCCCCCAGAGCCCCCAGCAGAAGTCCAGTCCCTGTGCTCCCCAGAGTCAGAGTTGGTTCATGTGACACTAACATGGATGAATCAATACACTATTTGCTTAATTTAATGTAATGTCCCCACTGTGAGAAAAATTAACAATATCTTAAACATCATGTATTGAGACGCGGTATTTTTTAAGACATTCTGAGATTAACTGACTGATGTTTTGACTCGTTTCTTAAAGGATTTGTGGAAAAGGAGATAAAAAAGGCAAATATCGACATTGTGGACACAGGAGAGAATCCCGAAGTACCCTTCCCGAGAGACATGATCGACCTGGAGGTAACTTTGGATTACAGTATGGCCTTTTCATTTGGTATTTGCGACATGTTATTGATTATTCGTAGAAACTCAAGTGTTGTGTTCTAGTGGGAGTAGAGTAGACTTACAGTGGCAGCTTGAGCTTTTTGCACATTTTCCACTGAAACACCACGACAAGTGAAAAGCAAAAGGATACATCTCATAGTTTTCATACGATAGAAAAACAAAAGCTTTTCATGTATTAGTGGCCCAGTTTACGTCCAAATCTAACACCAAATCAAAATATGTGAAATTTTTTATGAAATAGCTTGAGTTGTTTTTACAAAAGGGCAATGGGCATAACTTTTCTTTCCAATCCACTTTATTTTATATAGCACATTTTATAAAACAAGTGCTGCACAGAGATACAAAAAAACATATTTAAATATACAGGTTTGCCAGCTTTATATGTATCAAAAATTGAATAAGTAAAACAATTAGATAGATACAGATAGATGGATACAGATGGATGGATAGATGGATAGATTGATGGATAGATTGATGGATAGATAGATGGATAGATGGATAGATGGATAGATGGATAGATGGATGGATAGATGGATAGATGGATGGATAGATGGATAGATGGATGGATAGATGGATAGATGGATAGATGGATAGATGGATGGATAGATGGATAGATGGATAGATGGATAGATGGATGGATGGATAGATGGATAGATGGATGGATGGATGGATGGATAGATGGATAGATGGATAGATGGATAGATGGATAGATGGATGGATAGATTGATGGATAGATAGATGGATAGATGGATAGATTGATGGATAGATAGATGGATAGATGGATACTGTAGATGGATGGATGGATAGATGGATCGATGGATAGATGGTTGGATAGATGGATAGATGGATAGATGGATAGATGGATCGATGGATAGATGGATAGATGGATACTGTAGATTGATGGATAGATGGATAGATAGATACTTTATTGATCCCCATAGGAGAAATTCAGGGTTGTATTCTGAATTTGAATGTATGAATCTGAATTATGATGTATGAAGTAAAAACATTAAAATACCAGTTAGCCAATACAAAGATAACAATAAAATGTAATACAAAACAAGGTAATCCGGAAACGGGAAGTACAACAGGAAGACACAGGGGTTAACAAATTACAAAACAAAACGGAAACCTAAACCGTTTTGCTTAGATTTGCAAAACTTCCTGCAGCAACTTTTTACACATGCTGTTGGGTTGTGTATTTACCCGATTGATTTAAAGAAAACCAAATCAAAATCATGCATGAATTTGCTTTTAAAATACAGTCATGTGAAAAGTAGTGATAGAGCGAGGAAATGGTAAGATGGATTTCAGCCCAGCTTTAAATGTACCACAAAACTTAACCAATAACAGTGAACAATGAGCCTCCTAGAGAGAAATCATTAGTAAAAAATGAATATATTTTGCTATTGTTTTTTCCTTTTGAAGAAGCTGTCACTAACTTTTTGTTGTTTCTTGCCAAAAGGCCACGTTTGAGAAACTGGAGAACGAACTGAAGGAGATCAACACAAACCAGGAAGCTCTGAAGAAGAACTTTCTGGAGCTGACGGAGCTCAAGCACATCCTGAGGCGCACGCAGCAGTTCTTCGATGAAGTAGGCGACGCTCTGCTTTCTTTGGTTTTAAAACGTCAAATTGATTATTGTCGAAGCCCGGTCTGGTCTGTCCTCAAAAGAAAAAACTAGCTGTGCCGACTTAGTACAGTCTTGGGTACATAATCTTGCAGAATTGAGGATTTATTTTGTTTGTTGCTTAAAGACCTTATGCCGGGTTTAAAAAAAATAAATTGTGGATATCAAAATTGCATGACAATGTCGATCTGAAATAGATTCTGCCAAAAAAATTCCTATATTTTATAAAAAGAACCTGTTTTTCATGAATTTAAGTTGTCTATGCTCTAACCTGTGTGTGACGTCATAGCGGGTTACGCCCATGCATTGAAAACCATGGATCTATGCCACAGGACTGCCTTTTCTCTCTTCTCTCCACTGATGCCCAACACAATACTGCACTCTACAGGTGACAATTGCTCACTACACATAAATTGCCCTTTTGAGAGTGAAAAGGCGTATGAGCTGGGATTTGAACCCCAGTTTCTGTATTGGCAGTATATCGACACAACCACTGGACTATCTCAGTGCCGACAAAGTGTTATAATTTAGTAGTAATATCATACTCGCTGTACACGGCCTTGTCATCTTGAATATCCGCGAAAAAAGAACGAATACCAAATTGTAAACAACTTACAGCGTTGAAACGTACCCACTCTGACGTCACCAAGGGCTGTGAAGTTTTTTCGTCTCTAAGGGCGTTGCTATGGGGTTATTTCGATTTTGGGGGGGATCAGACAAAAAAAACAACTGATTTTGAAACCTTTAGTAGTTCTCTTCTAATATAAAATGGTATTAAAACTGTATTTCTAAATAAATCAAACCCGGCATAAGGTCTTTAAATTGCATTGCTGCTTTACATTACAACAGACAAAGTACTGTAGATAATTTGGCAATGAATAATAGATGTTTTTACCCCACTCGTGCTCCAAGATTTCCAAGCAGTGTAAATGTTTGATACAGACCCTTTGGGCAGTTTTTGTTTGAAATGTTGATGAGGTTAAAGAAGACTGTTTTTGCAATACAATTTGCTCTTATTGCTTCTGAATGTGATTTGTGTGTGAATGCTTGGTGAGGTAAGACCACAGATTGATAGCCTTGTGTTTGTCATACGACTCCAGGCAGCTGTGTTTGCAAAATATTCTCTTACCACCTCCAGCGCGAGCCATAAAGTGTTTGTTTATCGGAAGGGACAATGTATATTAATGAACAGTAAACACACCAGAACATACCTTTTTTATATAGCCATTTCTCATCTATTGTCCCACAGTCACGCTCACAATCACATTCATCTTTGGGTTGCACGATATATCCCAAAAATATTATCATCGCGATATTGGTACATGCATATCTTGTACGCGCACTATGACTAATCTACAGTAGAGCACGCAGAGAAACTAAACAAGCGGATGATGAAGAGACAAATGCAGATGAATGCAGAGAGGAGCTTGTTCCCAAAAGATACTTTACCTCCAGAATGTGAGACTACTTCAGATTTACAAGACACGACCAATCACAGAAACAATTCTAAACACCCATATCGAATAGCGCTCTATAATTTCCAATATCATGCAGCCCTAATTCATCCAACCCTCTCCTATTGCACAATTGTTTAGTGGTAGGGGAAACTGGAGCACCTGGAGTAAACCTGCGCACACACAGGGGGAACTCCACACAGAAAAGCCCGGTCTGGAGGCGGATGTAATTGTAACTATTTAAGCAGCTGGTTAAATTATTCACCTGAATCACAGATCATAAAGGTTAGGGTTACTGCTTGGCCTGCATTGTAATATAACGTAACTTTGAAAAGCTTTCTCTGTTAAACATTCTCTGATTTCTGAACATGTAACCTTCGTAATGCTCTTATGCAAAGCAGGTGTGACGATATAACCATGGCAGAAATATGAGAAGCTACAGTAGATATTTGTGTATAAGATTGCTTTTTGTTGTTGTAATCCTGCTTCCTGTTCTGCAGATGGAGGATCCCAGTATACTTGACGAGTCCAACACTCTCCTGGACCCCAGTGAGGTGACCCGGGCCCCTCTCCGACTCGGGTCAGTGTGTGGTCAATGCTCGTGTTTCTTCCATGATGTGGCTTTTTCAAAACATTTCATTAGGTTTCAACACATTGGTTCAGGCATGTTGGAGAAATCTCTATGCTAAGTGGATTTCTATTTCAGCAGTAATCTGATATATTGCGATTCATTTCCCTCATATTATTCAAAGGCATTACATTTATTATGGTCTGCACATTAACTGACGTGCAAAGACTTAGGAGAGTGGAGCAAAAACGTAATCCTTGAACTTTCACACGGGACCTCATTACAGACAAGACATCATTTTTTTGCTAAATAGACTTCTCACATACATGGTGAGCTCCCAGCACATAACCTAATACATTAGGTTATTAAAATATATATATAGACTGGAGTAACAAAAAGCAGACATAATTGAGTAACTTAAACCCCAGATGTAAATTACCAGAGTAAACGCAGAGAAACAGATAGTTGTTTGCATAGATATCACAATACTGTATCTGTTTAATTGCGTGTGAAACATATCGTGATACTGAATCCCCCATTCACTAGTCGACGACAACACACCGACATTTTGTTATGGGTCAAAAGTGAATGGTAGGCAGGTAAAAGATCCAAAAATATTGATAGTGGACTCCAATAAACGTGCAAATTGGATCTTTTTAATTCACAGTTTCGTGGCCGGAGTCATCGGTCGCGAGCGCATTCCCACTTTTGAGCGGATGCTGTGGAGAGTTTGCAGAGGAAACGTGTTTTTGAGGCAGTCGGAAATTGAGGACCCTCTGGAAGACCCCACCACGGTCAGTTCAGAGAGAGAAAGAAAATGGACAGAAGACACTTCAAAAAGCCTCAAATCAAAAAGGACCGCAACATGTGTTTTTCTCCCTTCAGAGCGACCAGGTCCACAAGTCGGTGTTCATCATCTTCTTCCAGGGAGATCAGCTGAAAAACAGGGTGAAGAAGATCTGTGAAGGGTGAGTGAGTTCAGAAGCTTTCTATTCTAATTGTACCCATTTGAAGCTTATGCTAGCAGCCGGGATTAATGTAGCCGCCCGCAGCCACAAAGTGTGTAATCTGAGGGTACATTCACTTATTGGTTTAGCCGTGCTATCAATTATGGAAGAGGTTTGGATCTATCGGCCATTTCTGAAGTACTGACGCTGAAGTACTGACGCTGAAGCACTGACGCTGAATCACTGACGCTGAATCACTGACGCTGAATCACTGACGCTGAATCACTGACGCTGGAGCACTGAGGCTGGAGCACTGAGGCTGGAGCACTGAGGCTGGAGCACTGAGGCTGGAGCACTGAGGCTGGAGCACTGAGGCTGGAGCACTGAGGCTGAATCACTGACGCTGGAGCACTGAGGCTGGAGCACTGAGGCTGGAGCACTGAGGCTGGAGCACTGAGGCTGGAGCACTGAGGCTGGAGCATGACTGAGGCTGGAGCACTGAGGCTGGAGCACTGAGGCTGGAGCACTGAGGCTGGAGCACTGAGGCTGGAGCACTGAGGCTGGAGCACTGAGGCTGGAGCACTGAGGCTGGAGCACTGAGGCTGGAGCACTGAGGCTGGAGCACTGAGGCTGGAGCACTGAGGCTGGAGCACTGAGGCTGGAGCACTGAGGCTGGAGCACTGAGGCTGGAGCACTGAGGCTGGAGCACTGAGGCTGGAGCACTGAGGCTGGAGCACTGAGGCTGGAGCACTGAGGCTGGAGCACTGAGGCTGGAGCACTGAGGCTGGAGCACTGAGGCTGGAGCACTGAGGCTGGAGCACTGAGGCTGGAGCACTGAGGCTGGAGCACTGAGGCTGGAGCACTGAGGCTGGAGCACTGAGGCTGGAGCACTGAGGCTGGAGCACTGAGGCTGGAGCACTGAGGCTGGAGCACTGAGGCTGGAGCACTGAGGCTGGAGCACTGAGGCGGAGCACTGAGGCTGGAGCACTGAGGCTGGAGCACTGAGGCTGGAGCACTGAGGCTGGAGCACTGAGGCTGGAGCACTGAGGCTGGAGCACTGAGGCTGGAGCACTGAGGCTGGAGCACTGAGGCTGGAGCACTGAGGCTGGAGCACTGAGGCTGGAGCACTGAGGCTGGAGCACTGAGGCTGGAGCACTGAGGCTGGAGCACTGAGGCTGGAGCACTGAGGCTGGAGCACTGAGGCTGGAGCACTGAGGCTGGAGCACTGAGGCTGGAGCACTGAGGCTGGAGCACTGAGGCTGGAGCACTGAGGCTGGAGCACTGAGGCTGGAGCACTGAGGCTGGAGCACTGAGGCTGGAGCACTGAGGCTGGAGCACTGAGGCTGGAGCACTGAGGCTGGAGCACTGAGGCTGGAGCACTGAGGCTGGAGCACTGAGGCTGGAGCACTGACTGGCTGGAGCACTGAGGCTGGAGCACTGAGGCTGGAGCACTGAGGCTGGAGCACTGAGGCTGGAGCACTGAGGCTGGAGCACTGAGGCTGGAGCACTGAGGCTGGAGCACTGAGGCTGGAGCACTGAGGCTGGAGCACTGAGGCTGGAGCACTGAGGCTGGAGCACTGAGGCTGGAGCACTGAGGCTGGGCACTGAGGCTGGAGCACTGAGGCTGGAGCACTGAGGCTGGAGCACTGAGGCTGGAGCACTGAGGCTGGAGCACTGAGGCTGGAGCACTGAGGCTGGAGCACTGAGGCTGGAGCACTGAGGCTGGAGCACTGACGCTGGAGCACTGAGGCTGGAGCACTGACGCTGGAGCACTGACGCTGGAGCACTGACGCTGGAGCACTGAGGCTGGAGCACTGACGCTGGAGCACTGAGGCTGGAGCACTGACGCTGGAGCACTGACGCTGGAGCACTGACGCTGGAGCACTGACGCTGGAGCACTGATACCTGAAACCTTTTACAGTCCAAGTTTATATTTGTGTAATGTACTAAACCTTTACAGTGTAGTGTTTATTTTGATCAGGACTTTAATTAACAAATCCTGTGATATAGTTTATATATTTTAGTTGACTGATTATTCATCAGATAAATCTATTAAAAGCTTGTAAAAATGTTGTTTTTAGAAAAGGTTTGAACATGTTTAAGCATTTTCTATTTATTCTAAATTTCTGTTGAGAGTCCTAAAACTCCTTCACGGCTAAATCTCTGTTCGAAAACGATAATGTATTCGTAGATACAGCTGACCACAATTTAACTATCAATTTATTGCTATTTTTGTTCTCATTTAACCTTTATTATTTCACCAACAAAATCCCATTGAGATTAGGAACCTCTTTCTCATGGGAGTTCTGTACAGATTTGCAAAACGTTACAGAGTATAAAGGGTGTATGGGTGTGTAATACTTTTGTACTTTATTTCTTTTCTGTTCAGGTTTCGAGCCACTCTGTACCCGTGTCCGGAGACCCCCCAGGAGAGGAAGGAGATGTTGGCGGGAGTGAACGCCCGCATCGACGACCTACAGATGGTAAACTCTGCACAGAACAACTTCCTCTGCACATAGAGCTGCACGACTTGTCTGACACGGCACTTATGCAAACAAAGGAAACACGTAGGCCACGTTTTCTCATGCTTTGTCTGGAATACTGCTCATTTTACTAATGTGGTTGATCAGTGATGTAAGAGTCTGGTGCATTTTAAAGTTTAAAGTCATCACCTCCTGTTGGTAATGACTTAAATTTCTTGCCTAATGTTGACTAAATGACTAATGACAAAAACAAAATTAATTCAGTTTTTCGAATACACCACCACAACATACAGCGATACAGTATTACCAAGGATTGAAGTCTCTAGGTATAATTTTTTTCTGAATACCAAACCACAGAACACTGCTCCGAGGCCAATGTGGCATTAGCACCGCCTTATCTCAAATGCTGAGTCGTGGAATTGCTCCGGTGAAAGAATTTTCCCTGGAATCTGGAGTTGAGTGTAGTGCATTGAGCCGGTCTGAGCGGTGTCTGTGGGAGCGGGGTCTGAACATGTGTTGAAGGGTCATGAGACCGAGTATAAAGTGTGACTCATACACAGAACATACTGCAGAGTCCTGCGAGAAACTAATGCATTATGTGGAGCCATGCCATCGAAGGGCGACAACTCTACGCACATGCACACGCGCACGGAGACGCACACACGGAGACGCGCACACACGGAGACGCGCACACACGGAGACGCGCACACACGGAGACGCGCACACACGGAGACGCGCACACACGGAGACGCGCACACACACGGAGACGCGCACACACACACACACACGGAGACACACACACACACACAGAGACGCGCACACACACACACACGGAGACGCGCACACACGGAGACGCACACACACACACACAGAGACGCACACACACACACGGAGACGCACACACGGAGACGCACACACGGAGACGCACACACGGAGACGCACACACACACACGCGGAGACGCACACACGGAGACGCACACACGGAGACGCGTACACAGAGACGCGCACACGGAGAACACACATATGCACTCATACACACATGCAGAAACACACACACAGAAGTACACACGGACAGAAACACACACACTAAGAAGAACACAGGGAGAGCTATAAATGTACTTTGACATTTAATAATGAGAGAGGTGTCCATTACAGATTACTCTAAAGGCTTTGTTTACTGAAAGTGAAACCACATCAGGAGAGGCCCATCATCCCAGTGAGACTTGGATAATGTCCACTCAATGCATCTAGGGACAGACAAATGGACTGTTTTGTTTGATACCAATCTCTGCTGCATGCCCCACTGCGCTGATGATACCAATATTTGCTCATACATAATTACATTGTATACTTGCTTTATATATATAATAAATATATAATAAATGCTCTTGATGTCTTGATCCATGAAGTTTTGAGTTGAGTGTTTCTAGTTCAATGTAGATCAAATCATCCATTACAATCATTCAAACTTGAAAAGGAGGAAGAAAAAATCCTTCTTGATAATTTGATAAGAATATCACGCCTCTTCATTCCCTCTCTCTCTCGTTCCGGCAGGTGTTGAATCAAACGGAGGACCACAGGCAGCGCGTCCTTCAAGCCGCCGCCAAAACCGTCCGCGTCTGGTTCATCAAAGTCCGGAAGATGAAGGCCATTTACCACACATTGAATCTGTGCAACATCGACGTGACGCAGAAATGTCTCATCGCAGAAGTCTGGTGTCCTGTCTCGGATATGGACTCCATACAGTTCGCCCTGCGCAGAGGCACGGTCAGTGTAGTACCGCTGGGAGGGACAGGTTCAGTGATGATGTCTGATGTTTAATGTCTACTGTAGTCTATGCAAATGTATGTGGTATAAAACATGTGACCCACCTGTCTCAGATACATTTCTCCAATGCGAGACATGAAAGAAGTATATTATCTTATAATGGGTTTAAATGAATAAACTGTATAATGGTAAAAGTTTTAAGTTTTGAGCACTACTCCCCCTACAGTCTTAAAGGAGAACCATTATGATCTATTTTAGGCCATTATATATTTTGACATGGTCTGTTCATGTTTTAGAATGGTAAACAATATCTAGTTGAAAATATGGTGAAATAATTATCACGGGTGAAACAAAAGCTTTCTGCCTGTAACTCCCTATGCTACCACTAGAGGGAAGAGTTTAATTTGTTTTTCAATAAAGAAATTGCCAGCTGTCAATGATAAAGAATGTCATTTTCTAAAAGTAATTGCTAAAAAGGGGCGACAGTGGCTCAGTTGGTAGAGCATTGGCCTTTGAGCCTGAAGGTTGTGGGTTCGAGCCCACCACAAGACCTACTTCACGACTCCCACTGATGACTGCTGTCGTTGTGTCCTTGGGCAAGACACTCAACCCCACTTTGCCTGAAGCTCCCACTAAAAGATCTCAGCTCCTGTGGACTCACCACCTGCAGGAGGATCAGTGAGGGGCTGGTGCTCTGTGTACTGGGTGCAGCTCTGACTGCCACCCCCCCGACCCATAAATGGATTAAGGGGAAGAAAATGGATGGATGGATGGATAATTGCTAAAAAGTAGTTTATTGGCAATACTTTGGTTTTGGTGTGATGGTGTAGTGTGATGTTTTTTTGATGAGGGAACTATATTGTAACATGGTTAACCGCTCAAAAGAGTCGATTTTAGAATAATATTTTCTTCTTTCAAATGTTATGTTAACTACGACTGAATAAATAAGTAGATACTGTATTAATAACTGTTTTGTTTGTAGGAGAAAAGTGGCTCCACAGTGCCCTCCATCTTGAATCGGATGCAGACCAAGCAGACTCCGCCCACTTTCAACAAAACCAACAAATTCACCTCGGGTTTTCAAAACATCGTGGACGCGTACGGGATCGGCAGCTACAGAGAGATCAACCCAGGTACCAGCTGCCTCCTTCCTTCTGTTCTCAAAATGTCAAGAGACCTGTGTTTAAACAGCTGAGGCTCATTTCATCGACGTTATCACCTTGTTTGGTTACTTTTTATGTTCTTTGTTTTGTTCATGAGTTTCCGTAGTGTCTATAGTAAATGATGGATAATTCATTTCAGCCTTTTTCTTTAACTGAGCATGACTGTAGTTGTGCACTTAAATCCCTAAATACTGACTTTTGGCAATTATCGAAGTTGGAATTAATACTATCAAAGTCCCTTTTTTTTTTGCTTATCATGTTATTGTTAAAAGGGTTACCTATTCTTGGGTTTCATGTGACGTCAGGGCAGTGGCGCGAATAACAAATGTGTGACAGGACCGGACGTGACGTATCTTGGCGGTGCAGTCTGCCGGGTTTATACACGGAGATAAAGTAGAAGAAGAAGCGCTGTCAAAATGTTGTAGCAACCGCGCGAATAGAGAGAAAGACAGGAGTTTCTTCCGTGTTCCAACTGTGGTCTCATATGAAGGAGGACACTTTGAAAAAATCACTCGAATGAGGCGGGCGAGGTGGGTCAAGGCTTTCCCAGATAAGCGTCCCCTGGAGGCCACCCCAATGAAAAGCAGGAATTTATTCTATTTTTTTTTCTTTCAAAAATGCCCAAAATCAAGACTCTTTTTTTGGAAAAATATGTTTTAGTACTCCTTTAGAATTGAGTGTCCCCGATTAAGACTGTTACAACAACCGTACACCGCACAGGATGAGAACCTTTTGACTCCAAAACAGACACGATTTACATGGTTTTCAATGGGAGCAAAACTGAGTTGTCCCACCTCTGCTCATTCGCCCCCTACTGGCCAGTTTAATGAAACCCAAGAATAGGCTGTATATAGATGGACTTTTCTAAACCGCTAGCTCAAAGATGCCCAATAAGAAAGCGCTCATAGAAAAAGCTTTGCTACTACTCTCTTTGGCTAGTATTCCTTACGTTGAAAAGTAATCTCCCCTCGTGCTGTAACCATTTCCCAAAATGTCACAATTTTGGAGCTTAACATCTATGGTTCACCGCTTTGGATGATCCTTTTTTCTTTTTTTTCAGATTGTGATATTGTCTTTGTAAATCGAGATATGAGCCAAAGCAACTGACCAATTAAAGTGGTGGTCTATGGTACAAAAGTTTTAGATTTTGATATTTTCAGAATTCATTTTAGGATTGGAAGATAAATACGCTCAATGGTCCTGTTTGGTTTTGTTTATAAAGATTGGTTGACAAAACATCTATACATCTCTGCCTAGCAACACCAAGCTTTAATCTCAATCTCTTGGGAATAGTAGTGACACTGTTTTTACCTTTTTCACTTTGTATTTTTGTCTTGCACTATGGAAACCCAGTGTTTTTTTTCATGATTTCTCCCATTCACTCACTCATTTGGCCTTCAGCTCCATACACCATCATCACCTTCCCCTTCCTGTTCGCCGTCATGTTCGGGGACATGGGTCACGGGGTCCTCATGACGTGTGCCGCTCTGTATCTGGTGCTGAGGGAGAGCCGGCTCATCGCACAGAAGAACGACAACGAGGTAGGACGGCCACAGGGGGCGCCACTTCACCCAGACCACACACACGGACACTGTTTTATCAGATTTAGTTATTAACGGTTCACTGCAAGGTTGTGTTATCAGCTCAAATGCACTACGCGTCTGTTACTGATGATTCTCAAAGTCAAACTACGAGAGATTGCCAGTTACTTTTCAAAATGTTGATTGTTTTTCAATAATTTAGGATTGTTGTGTGTTGGCATTTTTGTTAAACAATGTATGTATTTGCCGACCACTTTTTTTAGTATCGATTTATATTAAAAAAAATCAAATTTGCAGAATATAAAAAAATGAGGTAAAAAATTGCTTGAATCGAGGGTTTTTATCTTAATTTGCGTACATTCAGACTTGCCAATGGGAAAAAGCCATTTAGTCTTATTTCAAGAACTGTTGCTTTATTTTCTCATCCAACGAAGACATTTCTTGTATATTTTTAAAGTGATATAATGGTGCTTGTCCTATTGGCTAATCTTGTTTTAAGGCAATCAAAATGTAAGCAATGTTTTTTGAAAAAAGGCATTTTACAAACCAAGGTCACCCAAAGCGCTTTACAATTTTCCAAAATCTGATAAAATGTGCTCTCATATTTTGACTTTTCATCACTTTTTGCACTTTTGCCACTATTTGAGAACCTTTGTTGTTCCCTTGTTCGACCAGGGAGGGCTTTCTTCAATCATGCATTTCTTTGGTCGACTACAACTTCAAATTCTTGGTTGACTTGATGGCTTTATCTATGTGGCTTTGCAAATCTTGCTTCTATTGCCAAGGAAAGTGTTCAGAGTACACATGGTCCAATCAAAGCAGACTCTGGTGCGATGGGCTGAATGTGATAATACTCATAATGGTTCAAGTGGCCTCTTTGTTTGAACCGGGTCACGGATGTTAAAAGGACTGGTGTATTTTCTCTGAAGTGAACCGACACGCTCTGAATTTCATATGAGGATCTTCATTTGAGATATCGCAAATTAAGTTATTTTTCTATATTCTCACTCAGCAAAATTCTCAAAAAAAGAATTTGTGATTGCAACCCACTGACAAACTTATCATTGGCCTCGTTTGAAAGTTGGTTCTCATTAATATCACTTAGCCATTGCCATTACAAAACGCTTTCTGTGTGTGCGTGTCTATACGTGTGTGTGTGTGTGTGTGTGTGTGTGTGTGTGTGTGTGTGTAATAATTCAAAAGTTGTGTTGCCTTCTCTTTCCCCTGAATTCACTACTTCAGCAGCTTGAATGAACCATTACGGACCGATGTTTGTGCCTCTCTCTCTGCCAGATGTTCAGTATGGTGTTTGCGGGCCGGTACATTATCCTCCTCATGGGTCTCTTCTCCATTTACACCGGCATCATTTACAACGACTGCTTCTCCAAATCCATCAACCTGTTCGGCTCGGGCTGGAGCGTCAGGCCCATGTTCAACCCCAGAGTCGGAGGAAACTGGACGTGAGTGGCTTTCGTCTCCTGTTATGACTCTCTCTGTAATGTCATTACAGCCTGAAACGCCTTTGCAAATGATGTCTATATTATGGCCTTTTTCACTAAAGCAGGGTCTGTCTCTGTGTCTAACAATGTAAAGTAATTAAGTGATTTGTATGGGTTTTATCATTGTAATCTGTGCTGGAATTGGTTAATATCACTTGAAAAACAGAAAACGGCTACCAAATGCTAATGGCTACTAGCTGACCCAACTCTAGAACCAGCACTTTGGAGAAACTATTTTTAGCTGTCATAGAATGAAATGGAGCAGTCAAAATAACTACTCAAATTTCAAAAAAACAAAATCAAGAATGTAGATGAGCTAAACGCCTTCAAATTGACTGCTCTGGGTATTCTGTTAATACCTTGCAATCTGAAAGCGCACTAACCATGATTTTAGCTTCTTTCCTCTGACCAAGGCTTGTGTAAATTGCAGCTTAATTATTCACCACCTTAAATCTAAACTCTTCCTGTTCTAGTTTTGATACGTTGAACGGCAGCAAGATTTTACAGTTGGATCCAGCGGTGGATGGAGTTTTCAGAGGACCGTACCCCATTGGGATTGATCCTGTAAGTGCTGTTTCATTGCATTGACGAGACACAACGTTTATTTTTGCTTTGCTTTTTGGAGTCAATAGTAGCCAGGCTGACATCATCTCGCACGTTCACACAGATCTAAAGCCAGAACGAGAAGGTTTGGTGATTCGAATGTTTGAGAAAGAGGCCATTGCTCCTTTGTATTTGACTTTGAAGTGACATTTTATCCATTTGTACATTTGTTGTTCAGACCAGGCCAGACCAGTTTGCATCCGTAGTCCCTGGTTGGAAGCAAAGTGACAGCAGTGTGCATATAATTAATACATAGAAAGGCCTATTATTTAAAAGACAGGTAAAATGTAACATCCTTAACCACAAATAGACACAATATATTCAACACACAATTATTCACAATCTGCTTAATGGTAGTGGTGGCTAGTTGTAGACATTTGTTACAACCTATACAGCTATAAACCATTTTCAAACTAAAACTCTAATCTCTCTTGTACTTTTTTTGTCCTTCTTTTAGATTTGGAACATCGCCTCAAATAAACTCACCTTCCTCAACTCTTTTAAAATGAAGATGTCTGTGATACTGGGAGTCATCCACATGTTGTTTGGAGTCAGCCTCAGTCTTTTCAACCACCTGTGAGTCTACACACTCCACATGTTTTGGCATTTTTTTGGAGCATTTTATCAAACCAGGTATTTCTTGGCGTACATTTGCAGATATTTCAAAAAGCCCCTAAACATCTACTTGGGTTTCATCCCTGAGATCGTCTTCATGACCAGTTTGTTTGGATACCTGGCCATCATTATCTTCTATAAGTGGGTCTCGTACAGCGCTCGCACGTCCAGGGAGGCGCCCAGTCTCCTCATCGCTTTCATCAACATGTTTCTGTTCAACTACCGTGACCCCACCAACCAACCGCTCTACACTGGGCAGGTAGGACGATTGTGTTTGTTTACCCAAAAATATCAAATTGGAAGAAATAACTGTTGTAGTATATTGACTAGAATCAGGAAGTAGGATGACATTAGTCCAGTTCTAAGGTCTCTGCACTGTGGCTCAGAGAATAGATAGCAGCTCTGCATACAATGGAAGGATTGTATCTTTCACTCTTACTTTGATTATTTGTGGTTTTAATGGCTCTTTTCTTGTTATGCATTTTGAGATTCCCTGTTTATAAACTGTGTTATACATATAAACTTGCCTTTCCTTTGTCCCCGCAGCCTGTGATTCAGTCCATCCTGGTCCTCATGGCGTTGGCCTGCGTCCCTTGTATGTTAATAGTGAAAACTCTGGTTCTCCGAAGACAACACATGTGGCGCAAAAATTTGGTAAGATAAAAGTCAGATTGTTGTGATTATTAATTACTAATGATATGACTGGTTTATATATTTGTAATTGGATTTAAAATAAATAACAATTAATATAATGCACCAAAATGTTAGAACACCTTGTCACTAATCATGTTGTGACCAGTCTGTCTGCTGCATTACAACATGAAAAGTTGTGGCTTATAAAGTACTATATGTGGACAAAATGTACTTATTTTTTAAATGTTGCTGATGTGGCTTTTATACAGATGCACCTGAAACTCCTGAAATTACAGTCATTTATTGAGAAAATAAGGCTTGTATGACAGCCAGTCCTACTCACAGTCCATTTCTCGTTTCAGGGAACTCAAAGCTTTGGGGGTGTGAGAGTCGGGAACGGGCCGACGGAGGACGAAGCCGGGATCATTGAGCACGATCAGCTCGCGCAGCAGACTGAGGACGAACCAGAGGTAAAAAACACCTAGCTCCAGTGACGCGCAGTGAGGAACAGTACAACCAGGGCCTCACCCGCCGCCCTCGACCGCACGGCACTGCATGACTCAGACACGAACTTCACTGCTTACAGTAGAGTAGACTTTGAGGAGGAGTATTTTCAAGCTGTTTTAGACAAGCTTAAACTCTATTATGTCTACTGTATATGCAAAAATATGTCGATTGTCTTGATGTATGATGATAAATATTGATGTTTCCTCAATCCAGAAAAATACAATTGACCGAATTTGCAAACACCTGTTTAACCAAATAGATATTAATGATAAAACATGCAAAAAATCATAGTGTATTGAAGTTAATAATTGATTGAACTGAGAATTTAATCTTTCTCGATTTTTGTGTGTGCATGTTTTGGTGACGATATCCTCGAACCAAAATACATTTTACAAATGTGTTCAACTCTATACTCATTCTCCGTCATTTTAGAGTCTGCTCAGTCCAACATTCAATGAGTGCTATAGACAAGTTTATATAAAAGCTTTGTGTGTTCTACTAATGCAGACACGGAAGCGGTTCAGAGAAGACATCTGATGCTTTCTTCCCTTCTAAATAATTGAACTGATCCCAAGTGGAAACTAAAACCCACTACTCGAATCTCAAATGTAATTTTGATGAAGTTTCTCTTCCTCTTTTGCTCGTTGTATTCCCAACGCAAAATCATATCCACTCAAATCCAAAATATGTCTGATATAAACTGCAGCTCCCTTCGGTCATGAGACAGTTCCAAATTTACTCTGTCTCACTCAGAGATCTACAAGCTGATATGTGTAGCCTCAACTCATGATGACTCCATTACAAACAGCCAAAACAGACTAAAGCTGGGGTACCGAACTTTCAAACCACCAAACTAATCAAACTCTGTTATAAAATAGATATGGACCTATCAGAGATTTGTATGTTTGACCTCTGTCACATATTTTAAATCAATAAGTCAGAAAAATGGAAAAGACAGACCTACCCTCACTCAGCCAATCTTCTTTCAACTCAGAGTGTCAAAGAGTGACTTAAAGTATGCAAAAAAATGTTGTTCTCATAATAAAAAGACGGTATGTAGTGTCTGATTTGCTCACAGTTCCATTTTACAACGCTCTTTCTGTTGGGACAAAAACAAGAACTATTTATTAGGTTAAAAAGTAAGGTACCCCAACTTCAATTACAAATTTCAAAATCCTATGACCGTTATTAGCGGACATGTATTTTCGGCACTAATTTTAAGCCTACATTTCAATGCAAGGTAAATTTATACATTAAGAAAAGGTGAATTTACACACATAAAGGTTTTCTTGTCGTACAGCATGCACACGTTAAGAACTTTGTAAATTACTACTAGGGGTTGTATGATAGTTGAAAATGCATGCAATTATAAACCATGTGATTAGCAGGAGTTGCCATGGTCACCCGCTTAGCTTCACATAGTTAGTATCTAGTTGCTGTGTAATATCCCCATGTCATGCTATGCCGTGTAACACTAACCCCAGTTTGCCTGTGCAGTTGTCCCTGTTGTAACTTGTTTTCTGTCTACTGTTTTTGTTTTCCTTTCTCGGTTCTCCTGTGTGCTTGTCTGTGTCTAAAATAACCAAGCAATGCCTTTTGTCAACTGCTTTCAAGGCCCGCGAGGAGGAAGAGGTAAAATGCATCCCACCCTTTCCCTCCCAGTCTGTATTTCCTGTCCAAATGCATGTGTCCTGTTTGTTTCATGTTTTTAGTATTTGACTTTGTGGTAGTATAGGAAGGTGGCCTCATACACTCACTGGTGACTCGGTTAGAGATGTATCCATGTGCCTGGGTTTTAAATCAATACATATTAGCATGCTTTCTGGACTATAAGGCACATATATTCACAGTATACACAGTGTATAAGCCGCACCAGCAATGTTTTACATGAAAGTACATTTTGTCCACATTTAGGCCTTACTTATAGCTACTAAAACTTAATGGAGTCAAAATAATGAGTCCATAACTATACCAGGATAAAAAATATATTTACTGCATTGTTATAGAAGCCATAGGGTTCAAAGAAGTAGAAAAAAGTAGCAACCTAAAGTTACGGTAGTTTTATACAGTGGGATGTAACACTAAAGACAAGACATGATGATCTGTAAAAGATACTCATGAGACATCTCAATATTAGTAAACAAAACATCATTTACTAACATGTAAGGAAAAACAAAGACCATAAAAAAAGTGTGGACACCCTGCAGAATTAATATCTATTGCAGAGGTCTTCAAACTATAGTGTTATTTAAATACATACTTTATACTATATACTCAATTATAGATTGTTTTTATAATCTGCTTAAAATGGGTGTCTAACTTTCAAACTACAATAATTCTGTATAATATCAATCCTTGCTCTCTAAACGGGTTGTTATTACTAGATTTCACACGATTGTAGTTTGGGCCTCTGCCAAATGCTTAGAGCTGCTTTTCAGACAAAACAGTGAAAAAGAGGACCACCCTCACTCAGCCAATCAGCTCAAAGAGTCAAATAGTGGCTAAGAGTACTACTAAAATATGAAAAAATAAGTATGCAAAAATAATACTTTGTAGTAAGAAGTTGTGTGTGACAAACGCACAGTGCCTCAGCTTTAAAAACAATGTATTGAACAGACACCTGATCTATTGTGTTTCCTTCAATCAGTTCAAACCGTTTGATCGCCTGATACTCACTAGACTCAAGAGTCATAGCTTGTTCACAAATCTCGTTCAGAAAGACCAGATGATGCAGATTTCATGAATATAACATATGTCCTTAGCTCGGGTTTACGCAGTCGTCTTGAACCCTGAAACTTCCGCTCCTCACTGCACAAAGAGCTAATCTCCTGCTGTCTTTGAGATTATCACCATTTCATATCTCTTCATTGTGGCATTATTTGATTATTACATACCAGCTGCTCTGAGATAAACCAGCCGCCTTTTCTGTTTTCAATTACGCAGATAAGTGCAGGAAGAACGATAAGACTGGGCTGTCTTTTTTTGTTTTATCGAATATGTCATTCAAAATCCACTTTTCGAGGGATTGATCTTATTGGACGTTTTAGAGTAGCTTCTCAGAATAGATGCTGACAAACTTATTCCATATATGGCCATAACTATAGACTTTTATCCATTTATTTAAACTGTGGACATGACAATACATTACCTATTGCAAATACATTTCACATAATCGTTGTCTTTTCACTTAAGGAAGACAAAAAAAAATCTTATGTTGCCTGCCCCTTTCTTAAAAAATGTAAAAATTGAATACAAATTAATTTAGTTAATTTCTCCTCCTTCCAACTGTCTAATTTAATTTAAATGTTTTAATTTATACTTTTGATAAGATCCAGTTTAGCTTTGAGGTCTGAGCTAATCCAAAATGTCTCTGATAAGTTTTCTGGTGAGTGTATTTCATGCATTGGGATCTGTGCAGTATTCTGTGCCAGTGGAGAAGTGCTTGTGTAATTGTGGGATGTCTCTGCTTCGTAAAAAAACTGATTGGCGGCTTATTTAATTTCTCGTGGTAAAGTTTTCCTCTTGTCGCAGTAAACGGTCGAGGCGATAATAACGTGTGTTTGCGATTTGTATTTGTTTTCCCAGTTTAACTTTGCAGACGAGGCGGTGCACCAGGCCATCCACACCATCGAGTACTGTCTGGGCTGCATCTCCAACACGGCCTCGTATCTGCGGCTCTGGGCGCTCAGTCTCGCACACGCACGTAAGAAGTGATACTAGTGCTGCTACTAATGCTACTGCTACTACAACTGTGACTACTACAGTGTATGGAGTGAAAGAATAAAAAGCGCAATATAAAACCAATTCATTATCATTATTATTATTACTAGGACTGCTGCTACTACTGCTACTACTGGAACTATTTTGACTATGACTGCTGCTACTACGGCTACTAATTCTAAAACAACTACGACTAATAGGACAAGGACTGCTGCTACTACTGCTGCTACTGGTACTTCTACTGCTGCTGCTAATATTGCTACTACTACTGCTACTAGGACTAGGACTGCTGCTACTGCTTTGGCTGCTGCTACTACTGCAACTTTGACTACTAGTACTATGACTTCTGCTACTGCTCTTGCTGCTGCTGATGCTACTCCTCCTCCATAACGGCAAATGCATAATGATATCTATCACTATTTGAACTGGATTGACTGGATTCTTGAATTTAGAATGGGTTATGATACGACCTCATTCCCGCCACAGCTGCATGTGACCAATATACCTTATGCTCTGGGATGCTACTTCATGACCCAAGACAGTCTGCTATAGTCAAAACAACTGGTGTAGTCTTTCATTCCATGTCTCTGTCCTGTCACGGATCTGTTCAATCTGTTTCAACGAAAAATACTTCAAAAGCTGAACATAAAAACTGTGCATCCCCTCACAAGAAAGTGCATTTTCTGATAAACCTTTCCTCATGACCTTAGGTCAATCTTGATGGTTACACTTAGTATCACATCTTTTCGTTATATCAGAAAGTGTGGTTTCATGTGACTGAGATAAAGGCCTTGGAAACAATTATTCACGTCTGTGACCTGCTGATGTTGTGCGCCACTTCCATTTTATTTACTGTATTAAAAGCAACAGAATTGTTTTGAAGCATTTGCGACAGTCTAAGCTTATTTCTTGCCTTCTCACACTTTCCTCACATCCTGAATATTATTTTTTTCTGCGCTTCTAAGTGTTTTTCCTCCAACAACTTTTAAGTGACCAGTCCGAGTAAGACAGTGACTGAAGAGTTGGCCTTAGTTAGCCCGCCAGTTAGTTTTAAAAGACTATAAGCTAGTTGTGTAAAGGCTTCTACTGCTTTTACACACATCTGCACTTTGGTAAAACTAATTTTGATAAACTACTGTTGAAATTACTTACCACTTAGTCTTTAATTACTAAGTGGTAAATGTGATGTTTCTTCTCACAATAATCATATACAAAACAACATATGGATCTGAACTAGGCATTAACAGTTTTAAACTCATTCTTTCTCCTTGTGTGTGTCTCTCCGTGTCTGTGTGTGTTGGTTTATGTGTGTGTAGAGCTGTCGGAGGTGCTGTGGTCCATGGTGATGCGCATCGGTCTCGCCAGCAGGGGCCTGGGAGGTTTCATCCTCATCTTCGTCACTTTCTTCTTCTTCGCCATTCTCACCGTGGCGATCCTGCTCATCATGGAGGGGCTGTCGGCGTTCCTGCACGCGCTCAGACTGCACTGGTCAGTCCACCGCATTCACACACACACACAAGCACACACACGCTCGCTCACTCACTCACTCACTCACTCACTCACTCACTCACTCACTCACTCACTCAAACTCTCACTCACTCACTCACTCACTCACTCACTCACTCACTCACTCACTCACTCACTCACTCACTCACTCAAACTCTCACTCACTCACTCACTCACTCACTCACTCACTCACTCAAACTCTCACTCACTCACTCACTCACTCACTCTCTCTCTCTCTCTCTCACTCACTCACTCACTCACTCACTCACTCACTCACTCACTCACTCACTCACTCACTCACTCACTCACTCACTCACTCACTCACTCACTCACTCACTCACTCACTCACTCACTCACTCACTCACTCACTCACTCACTCACTCACTCACTCACTCACACGTTTGGAAGATTGTTAAAGTGGAAAAAAGGCTTTCTTCTCCTGAAACAGCCAAAGTTAATTTAAAAAACCGTAAAACTATATAAGTATAATGACTGTTCAAGAGTAACAACCAGGTGTTACTCTTTAGAGCACATTAATATTTAAAGACCTTATGCCGGGTTTGATTTATTTAGAAATACAGGTTTAATACCTTTTTTTATTAGAAGAGAACTACTAAAGGTTTCAAAATCAGTTGTTTTTTTTGTCTGATCCCCCCAAATCAAAATAACCCCATAGCAACGCCCTTAGAGACGAAAAAACTTCACAGCCCTTGGTGACGTCAGAGTGGGTACGTTTCAACGCTGTAAGTTGTTTACAATTTGGTATTCGTTCTTTTTTCGTGGATATTCAAGATGACAAGGTCGTGTACAGCGAGTATGAGTTTACTACTAGATTGTTACTCTTCGTTGGCACTGAGATAGTCGTGTTGTGTCGATGCACTGTCAATCCAGATACTGGGGTACAAATCCCACCTCAGTCACATTTTCACTCTCAAAACGGCAATTTATGTGTAGTGAGCAATTGTCACCTGTAGAGTGCAGTATTGTGTTGGGCATCAGTGGAGATAAGAGAGAAAAGGCAGTCCTGTGGCATAGATCCATGGTTTTCAATGCATGGGCGTTACCCACTATGACGTCACACACAGGTTAGAGCATAGACAACTTAAATTCATGAAAAACACGTTCTTTTTATAAAATATAGGATTTTTTTTGCCGGAATCTATTTCAGATTGATATTGTCATGCAATTTTGATATCCTCATTTTTTTTTTTTTTTTAAACCCGGCATAAGGTCTTTATAGTATCAATATGTGAGATTTACATGTAAAGTCATCATCTAATGGCTCTAATCTGTCAAAAGGCATTAATGAAACATGGTCTTCTCCAATACTTCTTTAACTGATCACAGTAGTTCAGAGATATTTGGATTTCAAAATTACTTTTACAGCCTCTAAATCTTGTTATTGCTTTAATTTCTATGTCCCGCCCTCCACTGTTTTAACAATCAGAAAGTCTGTAATCCGGGACGCCAGAACTCTCCATCTCACTGGTAAAATAACATGTGGCCACAGACCTAAAAAGGTTTTAATATGATTCTCAAATCATTAATAACAAAACAGGAATAAAACGAGGATTTCCTCTTCAACTTTGTGAAAAAGGTGTTGGTTATTGATTTGTTGTGGGCAAAACTCTTGTAAATACAGTTATATCTGGCAGCCCTTACATTTAGTTCCTTTTAAGGTTGGAGCAAATAAACTACAATCTCACACTGCCCCCTAGTGGTTTTACAGCTCTACGACACACTTCCCTACTGCTCTTTTGAAAGTTCACGGGCTCTTCACATTGGACTGTGCTTATAAAAATAGATTGGCTCTTTCAGTGGAGCAGACGAGCTGAAACCAGGTCTGAGGCAGAGGAATGGAGAGCAGGGGTCACCGGCTCCTGTTACTTCAGTTCAACTTGACACTTTGAAGCTTCCTGAATGTTGTGTTTGTCGGGGAGCTCTCTGGTGGTCAGGGGCGGCCAGGATTTACAACCTCTATTCTGTTCCACCCAAGTGTAATGCAACTATCTGTGTGTTGTAAGTTTACAAAGTCCCTTTCACAAACAGACACACAAAGAGCCAGAGCTGTCAAACCGGTTCTCAAACGGCATGCGTTGGCTGCAGGTTTTCATTCCAACCAAGAAGGAGCACATTAGACTCCACACATTTCCTCTGCTTCTGGTGTGCTCCTGTTTGGTTAGAATGAAACCCTGCAGCCACACCGGCCCTTTCTGGAACAAGTTTGACACCTCTGCTTTAGACAAAGACCTTGAATTGTATTGAAGTGAGCAAAAATCTTAATTTAAAATATAATAAAATGCCGCTGTCGACATACCCCGACTACTGAAAAGGGTGGAGTGATACAATGGGCCTCACTTGTATCTATTTTTTTCATAAATGGCCCATAGTTTGTCACAGAATGATTCAAATGTTGTGAACAAATCAGACCAAATTTTGAATACTTCGTGAGTCACTATTTGACTTTTTGGGCCTGGCTGAATGAGAGTGTCCCGTCTGAAAAGTCTTATCTAAAGCAGGAGGAGACAATACCTGTGTGAAAACTCGAGGTGGAACCAAACTGAGAGCGAGGAATTAGTCAAATGGCATGTTAAATGAATTACTAAAGTTAAATTAATATAGAATAGGGGGTGGGAGTTATAAAAGCCTAAACTCTTTTTGTTCTGGATGGCTGAGTGGCTGAGTGGTTAGCACTCTCGCCTCTCAGCAAGAAGGTCCTGGGTTCGAATCCCGGTCGGACCAGGGCCTTTCTGAGTGGAGTTTGCATGTTCTCCCCGTGTCTGCGTAGGTTTCCTCCGGGTGCTCCGGTTTCCCCTACCACTAAAAATATGTACAATAGTTCTGGCATGTGCCTCCTGTACTGGCCCCACTCCCAAAAATAACAATTGTAAACCGCTTTGAGACTCCGATGTGCAGTGAAAAGGCGGTATATAAATAAACATTACTACTGGATTTATAATAATGAACAGACATATTTGTAAATTATCATGTATTGTTTCTTCTTCTATATTGTTGTTTTGTTTTGTTGTTCTTGTTTGCTGTGGCTCAAAATTAAGTATTCATTCGTTCATTCAAACTCAATTGAATGTGAGATGTACCTGCCTTAAATATTATAATCCGTCTCTTGGTAAATCTTTTTGTTGACACACACCTGCGGTCTTTTTCAGGGTGGAGTTTCAAAACAAGTTTTACTCCGGACAAGGATTCATGTTCCTGCCGTTCACTTTCGAGAGCATTCTAGATGGACGATATGAAGATTAGAATCTGTACTTATGTGATATTACCTCATGATTCTTAAAAAAACCTCTTTTCACAATGATCAATGCAGGAATGAAGTCTCAGAATGCTCTCACTGATGTGGAGTTTTTGAATCCATTGTCAACATTAAAATAACATGTCGTCGTCTTGTGATTCGTGAACTGTTTGTTTTACTTGTTTTATTTAGTTATTTATTATTTCATTTTTATGTGTCGACTCTGTTTTCCACTGTAACTTTAGCAGCTAACTGTTTTTTCACAGCTCGAGTTTAGGCCTTTTCCGAATCTTTTCCTCATTCCGTTAAAATCATGCATGTTGTCAGGCTTTATATAAATAACACATTATAATAAACTTGAGACAAAAGTCCAAAGAGAAATGTAGTAAATTTAGTCTGACTTGAATGAGCTTCACTTTGTGCTGATGTCGTTGTGTTTGTCTCGTCGAAACATCTGGACTCGTGTAGAAGTAGCATTATCTGTGTTTGTGCACTTGACAATAAAGAGAAGAAAAGTTGTTATTATTAAGTCATGTTATGAAGTGATGAAAAATAAGTCAAAAAATGTTAAAATTTGGCAAACATTATTTTAATTCTAGCACATTGTGACTGCCTTAATACAAGATTTTTCCAATGGGACAAAGCCAAAATGAAAGGACAAAATGATCTTGTTAGCAATGGCAATAGTTGAAATAAATGGCTCTGTCCCAATGGCAAAACTTGTTCCAACACAGAATATACTCAAAAAGCTACTCAACTCAAGCAAAGACAAACCATCCACACAACATCCATCCATCTTCTTTCCCTTAATCAATTTCTGGATCGAGCGGGTGGCGATCAGAGCTGCTACCCAAGCACCAGTCCCTCGCTGATCCTCCTGCAGGTGGTTGGTCCACGGGAAGATGGCTCCTCTGTCATTGATGAGATCTTTCAGCGGAGGCTTCAGGCAATGTGGGGTTAAGTGTCTTGCCCAGGGACACAACGACAGCAGACGTCAGTTGGAGCAGGTGACATGGGTTGTGGTAGGCTCGAACCCACAACCATTGGGTCCAAAGACCAGTGCTCTACCAACTGTCGCCCCTGTTGTTTTTATTATTACAGTAGTTGGTGGACGATTAAGTACACCTGTAAATAAATTAGTGAGTCATTTGAACCACATACACTCAAATATAAGCCCTGGGTCTTCTGTTAGACATGATAGTTATTATTATAGATCCATGTACATGACCAGCAGCTGCAGCGCACTATTATAACTCTAAACTTGCCTTCATGATGGGGTGTTTCAACAATGGTTTCACCCGAGATGATCAAATCACTATTTTGACAATAACATCACTACTAAAAGATGAATTAAAAACAATAGGTCCATAAACTCTGCTCTGACTTTGGCCCTAATCACATAAAAGTTCCCTGTTTTTCCTTTGTTTTCTCGACTGTTCACATAAACATACCAGGAAGCAGGAATGTGTGCTTCGTCATGAGCTCTGGAGGTTATAGCTGATCTACGTATTAAAAGAAACATCTGATGGGGTTTGCTTCCTACATGTTGTGTAGGTTATTGTTTTATTCAGAATACTGTCAATGAATGGAAATCTGTCTTCGATCTCGACCAGAAATATCAAACCGTGACCCAAAATCTACATTATCCTCTATACCCAGCGGTAACTGGACATTTTCAGGCGTGATCTGTTATTCTCTCTGTTATGTCGTTACACCATTGAAATAATACAAATAAAACGATAGATTATATAGATTACTCAAATAAAACATTCTGTGTAAATTATTTTTTATTGTGGAGTCATGACGAGGCTCTGTTCAAACTTGTTCTTATCTAGTTGCTGTTGGAGAGATACAGTTGTAATTCCACGTTTCTCCACTTGATGGTGCTGCTGTGCTATTCTCTGCTAAGGCGAGTTGAGAGAAGTGTCTTGCTCAAGGACAACCCCAACTGTACAATGTTAAAACTGAATGATGGAAGTTATGACACTTAATGCCCTATAGCTGAAGAATACCATATATCAAGATAATTCTATATCTTTCTACCAGATTATGTTCTTGTCATGTAAAATACTACCACATTTCTCCTATTTATTATACTTTCTTCCATAGGGACGATTGTAGCTACAGAGATATCTTTTGTCCGATAGATAGATAATATCCTGTCAGAATGATCACAGATACCAGTGCCATAGTTTTATCATCCTTTTTATGCTCCTGGAACCATAAATACTTTGACAGTTCACTTGATCTCTGGATCTCGCTGAGACTTTGGCAGAGCTGACACCAGAGGACATTTCCCATAAGAAATGACGGTGTTTTTCCACACTACATCACGTCTAAAGTGAAAGCAGAAGTGTGCAAGATTTATGACTTTATTTGAGTAAAAGTCATCCAATATTGAGATGAAGTCAAATATTTTCAGTGCACATTACGGAACCGTGTATCAGACTAGCGATCCAAACAGGACTGGGAAAAAAACGAAATCAAAATATGGGAAGGTTTAGCTTAAAATGGAAGCTGTAATATGAATCTATATCATTTTGACAAATCCACAATATTTTCTGGAGGAAAGTCTGGCACCTGCTCATACACAAAACTATTTATGAACGGTACTGTTACAAAGAGACAAGAGCTAAGACAACCTTTTGAATGAACTGATTCTTCTTAAATCTAGTCCTCCTCCCACTAAACACTATACATTCATAGTCACGCACACACACACACACACACATTTGGCACGTTTCAACTGCATGGAGACACATCCCACTGCACCTGGTGTTCCCAGAGGTCTCCCATCACAGCACTATCCAGTCCCTTCTCTGCTTAGCTTCAAAAATCTGCCAAGTCCGAGGTTACAGATGCAAGTACTGTGCTATACAAATATACTTGCCTTTCCTCATGACCGCGTTGGACCCTAGCCCTACATTTACAACACAGCACGAAAGTAAGTGTTGTAAGAAGTGATCGAGGAAGGACTATTTTTTGAGCGACATAAAAACATGAACTAAATGTCTGTTTGGTGCAGAGGCGTCAAACTCATTTTGGTCAGAGGCAGAATAAAGAAAATAGGAACTCTTTGCGGTCCGAAAGAATAAAAGGAAGATATTTAGACATGACTTTTATGTGACATTATGTTCTGGTTATTTATCGGAAAACAAAATGTGTTCAGATTTAACCAAAACTGGACCAAATATAAAGTTAGAAAACATTTATTTACATCTAACTATTTAGCTTCTAATGATTGGTTGGGTAAATATTTTAGAATACATTAAATGTGGTTGTTTTCCTGAGAGGATAGACGATAACTATCAAAGTTTATAACAATAATTGAAAATCCTTTGGGGCCGTATTTTGCCCACGAGCCTGAGTTAAATTGTTTGTGGCATGTACGGTTTGGTTTTATTGAATCCATAGAGCGGTTGAACAGTACTTTACAAACAGCCGTACAGACGTCTGCAGGTTTTGAAGAGTGTGTTTTGACGCTCTCTCTGCTCCAGACTGAGTTAAAGTTCTCGTGTCAGAGCGTCTTGGACCCGTGTTACATATTTTCTGAGTCAGAGGTGAAACAATGTCTCGCTCACTGGAGGAATTTCCGGTCATTTTGGCCGCGTTCCTGAGGAGGAGATGGCATCAGTTTGGCTGCAGTGCGAAGTGAACCAGCTGACCCACAATGCACCAGGACAAAGACAAGGGTTTTGCGTTGTTAAAGGGGAAATACAGAGGACAAGTTTCTGTACGTCGACTTTAGAGAAGATTTAAGTCATAATGTTGATGTTTTTTCTTCTCATGCAACCACTCAAAGTCATAAGTGTGATTCACCCGGAATTAAAGCTGGGGTATGTAACTTTATTTTTGTTTTTGTAATCAAATCCATCTAACTAGTTCCTGGCTATAAAACTGTTTGGTTCTATCTCCAGTTTTCACTTGCATATGTTTTATCTCAGACCATTATTTAAACAGGAAGCTCCACAGAGTTCCTCTCTGTGAAGACCCACAGAGAGGGGAGCTCTCTTGTTTCAGCGGAAGTAGAAACCGGAGCAACCGGAGAATACTGGAGCAGACACAGGGAGAACATGCAAACTCCACTCAAGAGCCCCGGTCTGGTGGGTGGAATCGAACCCAGGACCAACTCCATCTTGCTATAGAGCTAATGTGTACTCTAGACTAGAGTAGAGTAGAGTAGAGTAGAGTAGAGTAGAGTAGAGTAGAGTAGAGTAGAGTAAAGTAGAGTAGAGTAGAGTAGAGTAGAGTAGAGTAGAGTAGAGTAGAGTAGAGTAGAGTAGAGTAGAGTAGAGTAGAGTAGAGTAGAGTAAAGTAGAGTAGAGTAGAGTAGAGTAGAGTAGAGTAGAGTAGAGTAGAGTAGAGTAGAGTAGAGTAAGGCTGATGGAAACAGGGCTTTTAGAATGTAATATCAGTTGCATCCAAATCCAAGTTTCCCTGGATGTTACGAAGCCATTTGTTGCTAAGTAAGATCAACATTTCAGGATAACATAGAACAAAATGAAGGTTAAAATAACGATTGAAATAATTTCACAAACTCAATGCCAGAAGAAACACAATCAGTCTTCTCAGTGTGTTTCTTGCCCCTTTGTTCTCTGCAGTTTCCTCACACTTAAGCCAGACACGACTTTCCTGTAGATCCATCACCCTTAGACCTCACAATAGTCTGTACATTATCAATCTCACTGTTCCTGACTGAGATGATCGAGGATTTTGGACCAACATCTGGAAGAAGGCGTGTCCATATTTGCCTGAGCTTGTGGTTGTTTTATACTGTCTGTTTGATTCAAAATATGGGCCTCAGTTTAGCGGTATTTCAAGCATGGAGGTCCTCAGATTCTCAAAGTATTTCCAAGATGGCGATAAGACAACGGCTTCTGTTCCTTGTTGGCATTCCTCTTTCCATGTTCTTCCATGTTTAGCTGTTGCCGTGTCGCAGAGGCAGCATCTATAAACCTTACTTACTTACTTACTAAACTGAAGTATAACCTTAATTTGTATTTGCGTT